CAAATTTACCGGCCTTCTAAAGGTTAAGGGTTACACTTTTCAAAGTTAAATTATTTTTTTCAAACTTGACCCAGTTTTATATTGTAATAAAAGAATAAATTCCTATTTATTGAAATTTTGATTAATATTTTATTTTTGTCATCATAATTCAATATTGAATAATTTTAACTTTCATTAACAGGACTGGTAATTTAACGAAAATTAGGAAGAAATAAAATTTCGATGAGAGAAGCAGTGAAATAAAATTTGAAAAAGAAATAAATAAATTTCGTTAATTTAAATTTCAGAACTTTAGGGACATAAATTGCTCCGTATTTAAAAAAAATCTAAATTTTAATTAATCGAAATTTTCAAACTTTATTTATTTCTAATTTTTATTGATAAAAAATTGCCGCAGTCCTGTCAATTATAATTTTTAACTTTTATATTCTTTTTTCTTTTTTTCTAATTATGAAGAATAACGTAAAATTAATCAAAGTCTCAATAAATAAAAAGAATTATTTTTGCATATAAATTTAGTTTAATGCTAATACCTATAAACTAAATTGTTAAGCAAAAAATATATTTAAAAGTCAATCGAGCAAAAGCACCATTTGTCGATGGTCTTGTGCTAATTTCTCGAGGGTCTGTTCCAATTGTCGAGGGTATGACATTTTTAAACATATAACCCAATATAACCTAACAATTAACCTGTACAAATATTAGAAAATCGAGTAGATATTTATTTTTTCGATAAAAATATTATAGAACATTACCAGAAAACAAATATATTTATTTAACTATAATTGAATAATTTATAATATCGATATAAAACATTTTTATAGTAGATGATACAGGACAGAAAATTATTTAACTGATTTTTAAACTTTTATAAATAAGTTAATTAAATTTAATCAATTTTGTTAATCAGACATTAATTGAAAAAATAAATTAATTTAAGACACATTAAATTTGTAAACGAATAAAATAAACTTTTATTACGAACTGTAAATATAATGGTTAATTATAATTAAACTATAGTACAAAATTTTTTAGTTTTAAATAATGCATTTTTTTATTAATTTTTTTTCGGTCTTCCTCGTTTTTTTGGTTGATTATTTTCTGTTGGTTGTAAATTTTTGGAGCATTTTTTTTCTTTTTCTCTGTACCTATAAATGTTTGGCATTTATGTTTGACGTTTAGTAAATAAACACTTAACCATCGATAAATGGTGCATCAGCGAAAAAATTGACTACACCAATTTTCGAGTCATTACCTCGAAAAATGGAACTGTCAAAAAAAAGGAACCAAATACCGATGATTTGCTTTTAAAAAATATTAAATATTTTTTTTTAACAAAAAAACATGCATACAAAATTAATTTAGTTCGTGTACAAAATAATAATAATAATTTTGTACACAAAAAGTCATTATAAATACGTTTAATTTGCATTTCTAAAAATCTGTTTTAATCAACTTGAAGTATTAAGAAAATGGAGATTCGTGTAAATTTCACAGCAGTGAATTATAATATTAATTAAATAATTATTTTAGTAGAATCGCTACGAAATTTGTATATATAAATATACAGTTGAAAATACAAAGATTATTTAGAAATTTTTTTTGTTCTTAAATATTATATATTATACTATTTATCTAAAAAAGAAAATTATTATCCTCGACAATTGGAGCACCCTCGGCAATTGGTGCAGTTACCCTATTTATCTAAAAAAGAAAATTATTATCCTCGACAATTGGAGCACCCTCGGCAATTGGTGCAGTTACCCTATTAAAAAAATAAATATTAATATTAAACATTATTAGATCCTTCGTCCAAATATACAAAAATCAAATTTTAAAGTGCATTTACTTCCGAGAAAAAAAATGTCAAAGTCACATGTTGCCTAAAACCCTCGACAATTGGTACAGTTACCCTATAACTTTTGACTAATTTAAAATATTACCATATTTAAATCAGTTACTGACTTTTTGCTACCAAATTAGTTATTTTTGATTAAATTGAATTTATGGAGGAGTTCGTTTCAAAATTATTTTCTCTATATATTCTTCCAGAAGGAATAAATTCTAATTGTAAAATATTTAATTTTGTTGATGCGGAGATAAAAGAAATTGTTCCTGATTCTTTTTAGTCTTTCTTTTTTTTTGGTATAAATTCTTATCTCTGTGAAAGTGTCTCTTATTGTTCTTCTCTTTTCACCTTTGCTCTTCTCAAGAAAAAGGGTTAAAAAGCTCTACTAATACATCCCCTATAACTATATACACACTTCTTCTTTCTGTCTTTTTAAAGTGATATCATGTTGCACAAACATCTATTCATACTCTGTTGTTAAAGAGTTTCTTTTTGAAACCTATGTACAATATACATTGCGAGAACAGTATCATTCATAAATTTTTAATTATTTGTCCAAACACTGGCTTTATGAAAAATTTAATTTGAAAAAAGTGACATTTTTTAACGCGTTTCTATTGTGATAATTATAAAAGAAAACGATGCAATGAAAAACAAATTTTTGCAACAATAATACCACATTTCAATTTTTGTTTTGTTTTGACACTAATTAATATTGTTTTGTTTGCTTTTTCGTTTTCTTATTTTTTGAATAATTTTTCGAATTTTAAAATTAATGAAATTCTAATTTAATGTTTTGACGATTAAATAATAAGGAAAATTAATTAAACAAAATTGTTTTGTTTTATTTGCTAATTTTTTAAATAATTGTTCGAATTTTTAAATTAATGAAATACTAATTTAATTTTTGAAAGATTAAATTAATAATAATACACTGTAAAAAATTTAGGGAGTTAACGGACTCGGAAGTTGGGAGTGAAATTTTTCGAGTTAAAAATCAACTCCAAAAGAGAGTTAATTTCTAACTCCCTTCATTCAACACTCGCGCGAGTTATTTTTTCCTTGGGGAGTTAGCATTTGGGTGTGAAGTTTTAACTCTCTTTATTTAACTCCCCAATGGGTGCGACTTTTATAGAATCCCCTGGGGAGTTAAAATTTAACTCCCTTTTTTTACAGTGTAAGGAAAATTAATTTTAACAAAATTTTTTGCTTGTTTGTTTGCTAATTTTTAAAATATTTTTCGAATTTTTAAATTAATGAATTATCAAGAGTATTTTATTATTTATGAAAATGATTGAATTCTTTCAAGAAATTTAATTTAAACTGTTATGAAAACTAATTGAACTCCTGTGATTAATTTTATTAACTTTTTTGAAAATAATTTAATTTCTGCAAAGAATTTTGTTAATTATGAAGATAATTGTATTCTTGCCAAGAAATTTATTAAAATATTTGAAAATAATTGAATTTTTACGAAGAATTTTATATTAAAATTTTTGAAAATAATTGAATTTCGGAGAAGAATTTTATTATTTATAGAGATAATTGAAATTTTAACGAGAATTATAGAAAAATTCTTTTTACATAATTGAATTTCTAAGAAAAATTTTATTTCTTTTGAAAATAATTAAATTCTTAATTCTCAAAATATAACGCATTTTGCGATATTATTAAAACTAAAAAAATTTTATAATTTGCACAATAACAATAGAATTGAATATCGCTTTTTGCGCGTAATATTTGCTAGTATAGAATAAATAAAAAATAAAATGATTGAAATTAAGAAATTATTTTCAAATAAATTATTATTTTTTTTCAATAAATAAAGCGGGGAATTTGATGCTAAATAAATAAATAAATATATTGTCAATTTATTTAATTTATTTTAATTAATTAAATTATTAATTATTAATAATATAAATAACAAATAGATAATTAAATAATTAATTAAAATATTTAAAATTCAATGCAATAATTGAAATGTCATTAACATGAAAACAACAATGTCTGCAGATTCTTATCTAAGAATTTCGATAGAAAATTGATTAACTTTAATTTATCTTATCAAAAAATATTTTTCTCCAATTCGAATATTCCTATAAAGTTGTCGTCGTCAGAGTAAAGATCAAGTTCTTTTGAAATGATAAAAACAATGATATAATTCAATGGAAAATGTGTCAGTAAGACAGTCTAATGATTTATCCATTTAGAAAAAATGTTTTTATTATTCTATAATATCTAAAATCAATTATCATTTTTTCTCTCTAATCAAAGTATATGTAATAAAACAGATTTGAACAAAAGAGGCACGTGTCTTTATACAAATGCAAGTTAGGAAATTGCTTTTCGATTTATCTCAAAACTTTTTACAGACGAAATTGAAATTAAAATTAATTAATTGAAAAATTGGTTACGGAATTAGTATAAATTTTAAAAAAACTAATTCGAAAGGAAGTTAAAGTTTTACTTTCAGTTTTATTAAAAGACTAACTGCAAATAAAGTATATTAAAAAGTAAAATATTTTACAAAAATAAATTTTCCAATAAACGTACCTATTTTTTAAATTTAACATCAAAAAAATGTAAAAGAAATTTCATTAAAAATCATGAAACAAAAATTCTGAGTGTTCAAATGAAAGAACGTTATTTATTTCTTCTTCAAATAAAATTATTGTTATTACAATAAATTGGCGTCAATTTTTTCAAAAAAATAAAAAAAAAGAAGTAAATTTTAATAAATTAAAAATAAAAATTCTAGAGTATTAATTAGAAAAGTAATTAATTATTTAAAATAATTAATTTACTGCAATCAGTAATTCATGAAAATACTTTTAACGAAAAATATTTCGTTTAATTGAACGTTCAGAATTTGTGGATCATTAAGAAACTATTTGAAATGAAAAAGTAATTTTAATAAAAAATTATATTGTCTGGTATGCGTTGAGAATGTGCGGTAATAAAGAAAAGAGTTATGCACGTGGATTAAGAGAAGCATATGTTTTTCTCCACGTGAGACAGACAGACACAAACACATGGAGAGGATTAATAATTAATATATTAAAAATATTAGACATTTGGCATTTATCGAAAAGTATTTTAAAAATGTTTTCAATGTGTAAATAACTCTAACGTATCGCTTTAAAATACTCACTACACTTTGAAAAACCTAGTTAAATGTTGATAATTTTTTTTTCTAATCGAAATGCCGCTCCGTCAAGTTTTTTAGAGCTTCTCGAATATTATTATCAGTTAACTGGTTACTTGCCTTCTCAATATTCACTTTTCCCACTATTATCGCATTTTATATGTACGTAAATACTTTTATATTGTACAATATTTATTGTGCGGTAAAAATCACGTGATTCACTCTTTGCCATAACAGACATACATATATATATATATACAAAACACACTTGTAAAAAGTTTGTTTGAAAATTATTTCAAACACATTTCCATCGTGTTATCTCTCCAATTTCGCTATTTCCTCTCTCTAAAGCACAAAATATTTTTTAAATACAATATTTTTATGTACCTTTGAAAATATTCTTTAATTTCCAAATTGTTATGTTCGTTTTCTTCTTTGTTTTCTTCTTTCTTCTTGTAGGGGATTTTTTTTATACACTATAAATATTTTCTTTTTTGATTTCTTTTTTTTTTTTTTGCGAAAAGAAAATGTTTTTTTGCCTAATTGCAAAAAAGGAAATATTTGTAACTTTTTGAATTTTTTTTTTTTGAAAAAGATTAGAGAAACGGATTTATTTATTTTTGATAGAGAAATACCGACTATTCGCCAAGACCGCTTAGGCGCAAATGCTGAACTTTATCACATGAAGAGTAACTTTATGCGGCTTTATAAACCGTGAATTTTAAGTGAGACTCACGCGATGCAGTTGCATGCGGAATGACGACAGTCTCGACCGCCCCTTTTTCTCTGGTAGCTTTTCCGAAGTATTCGGTCTGCTGAAAATAAAAGCGAGAACGTCGTGTTTATAGCCCAGAGGCGAATGAACAAACTAGAATTTCTCCCGAGGATATCGGACAAAATTTACTATGTAAATGAAAAATTTTCCACCAAATAGTGAGAGAGAGAGGATTGAAAAAAAATTTTCATACTTGATCAATATATCCATACTTAGTAGTTCCGTGTATTATTATAGTGTGGAAACCACATTTGTTTTCGCAAATTTTATTTATAGCTGGCCAATTGAAATAATACCTGTATTTATTCAAAATCCCTGAAAAAGAAAATTCTTAATTCATTTATCTTGAAAATAATGTAATTTTTAATATTTATTTTTCTTCTCTATGGGAAATTATTTTCTTTTCAAGTGTCATTAAACTTAACTGAAGATTGCACATAACAAAAACATGTTTCATTTACAAAATGAATTGCAAAATCATTTTCCAAATTATTTACAAAATGAATTACAAAGTAATTTACTAAATCAATATTACAATATAATTTACTAAATAATTTGTAAAGTAATTTTAAAAATAATTCATAAAATAATTGATCAAATAAATTGCGAAATAATTTACAAAATAGTTTTCAAAATAGTTTACCAAATAAATTACGAAATAATTTACAAAATATTTTATAAAATAATTTACAAAATATTTTACAAAATAATTTAATTTAATTTAATTATTAACTTTATTAAAGTCTGTGGTTTTTCATTCTGTCCGTTCGCAGTATGAAGTTAGTTGTTAGTTATCATTTGCGAATTATTATCATGATTTTTTTGTTTGTTTATATTTTTCGTGATGTTTTGACATTTCCGATGTTATGTTATGCGGTAGTGCGGGTGTTTTTAAAAAACGTTAAATTGTGACAAGAATTATTGTGTTTGAAAAATCGTGGAAAAATATCTGGTATCAGGCGAGAGGTTACCGTTTTCAGTGGAAAAAAAACTGTAGATTGGTAAATTCTAATTATTAATTAAAATTTTCTTCTTAATTAAATCATTTATATTATTTCATTTTATTTTGTTAAATAAAAATCTCAAAATAACTTAAAAACAAATTTTATTCGTATATCTTATTATTATTATTATTATTTTTTTTTATTTATAATTATAATTGATAATATTTATTGTATTTTGATTTATTATTATTATTGAAAATTTTATGCATTTTTAAAATCTAAAAAAACTGAAATATCGAATTGTCAATAAAAGTTGTATTATTTTCAATTTTCAACGATTATTAATTTTAATTAAAAAATTCAATTTTCCTGAATCAATAAAAAATATCGTTCTAAATTTTATTACATTGGTCGTTTTCGTAAATTACTGTTCAATAATATTAATTATTCAAAATAATTAATTTTTTAATATTTAATTTTTCAAAAATTTAATTAATCTTCAATTATTAACTTATACAGTGCAGGATCTAGAGTCTAAATTTTTTGGGAAGAGCGATCCCTTTAGTGTGTGCTTTTTTTGATTGCTATTATGAGTGATAATAGCTCCTGGTTCTTTTATGTTTAAAAAATTGTTCGAAATAATTAATTTTTCAAAAATGAAAAAAAAAAAATTCAATTGTTTCAAATTTTAATTAATTTTAAAAAAATGATTTTACACAAAAAATTTATTCATTTTTAAAAATAATTGCAATTCAAAATCTATTTGAATTTAGTATTTTAATAAATTACTTTTTTATTATGTTAAAAATAAATTGTTTTTTTTAAATATTTTATTAATTTTTTACAATATTTGAATTTTAAATAATTCAAAAGTCAATTATTAATTATTCAAAAATAAATCAAACAATTTTAATTAATTCAAAAATAAATTATTCTGTTTTTAATAAAAATTTAATTATTTTAAAATCATTGAAAAATGTAATTGTTCAAAATAATAATTAATTATTCAAATATCAAAAATACAATTAATTCAAAATTAAATTATTTCATTTTAAATAAAAAATTGAAATTAATTTATTGGCACTTACGTAAAAAATAAACGTATTTCTGTGTGTGTTTGTGTGTAGAATTAACTTATAAGTGCTTTCTTTTGCAAGAATTAAACTTATCGTTATCTTCTGTTCAAATAAAATATAAAATGTTAACGTTTTTTTTAACACAATATTATAGAAAATAGATTTTCTAAAAAGAAAAAAAAATAATGAACTTAAAAAAAATACTTTAGGCACCGCCTTTCATTTCAACTATTTAAATACTATCAAGTCTTTTAAAGACTATATAAAGTCTTCAAATCATGAAAAATACATAATAAAAAATATTGAATTATTCCGAAATAAAATTCAAAAATCAACAAAACAATCAATTTACAATTAGGGCCATTTGGGGTAATTGTAAACAAGGGATAAATGTAAACAATAGATGTTTCAACTAAATTTACAAATTTAAAAATTAGTTTTAAAAACTTGAAAAAAATTGTTCATAAATTTAAATTACTTTAAAAATATCCAATTAAAATTATTAAAGAAACACAATTATTAAACAAAAAATAAAAAATAATTCTTCAGAAAAATTTAATTAGGGTTTCCAAAATTGATTTAATGATTTTTAGCGAAAATTGAATTATTTTCATAAATAATGACATTTTTTGAAGAAATTCAATGATTCTCAAATTTTTTGCAAGAATTTAAATGAAATTCAATATATTAATTTTAATTAAAATTAAAAATATTGAAACATAAAATTATTAAAGAAGATAGGAAACAAAAAAGTAAATTACAACTAAATCAAAGAAGATAGAAGAAGAAGAAGATATTAATATAGAGAGAAGATATAAAGATAGAAGATGTTAATTGAATAATTTTATATTTCTAAAAAAAATGTATTTTTCATTCTTTCCAGCATTTCCATTTTTTAAATTTATTTAAAACATTATAACGTCATAATAATAATTAAAATACCCTTAAAAATAATAATAATCATTTTAAAGAATTGCTATTTTAATAGAAAAAATATATTTATATATATATTAAAACATAAAATTATTAAAATATTAAACAAAAAAAAAATATAAACTGCGAACAGTAAATAAAAATTTTAATTTATTTATATAAAAAAAGAAAATGCAAAAATATATTAATTAATAGAAGATGAAATAATTTCTTTAATGGCATTTGAACCATAATGACGTCACAATTTGTTCACAGCATTTGCTAAAAAATTGTGACATCATAATGGTTCAAATTCGCTGAAAAAATAAAGTTTTAATTATTTAAAATAAAACGTTGAAAAAAAAATGCACGCGCGCTCGCGCGCGTCAGTTTTTGCTAGTTTACTATTAATAATCGTTGTAATCCGGTAATCTGTTCGCAGTTTGAAGTTAGTTACTGTTTGCTTTTTTGTTTCCTAACTTTTGAAATAATTTTTCTTTTTAAATGTTTTCAATTTTAAAATTAATGTACTGAAAATCATTGAATTCTTGCAAAGTATTTCTATCAAAAAATTTAAAAATAATTTAATTCATTTCAAGAATTTTATCAAATTTTTTTTCAATAATTATATTCTTTCGAGAAATTTTATTAAAATTTTTGAATAATAATAAACAAGAATATTTAATATTATGAACCTACTTAATAAGCTAATGAAAAATAATTTATCAAATAAATTACGAAATAATTTACTAAATAATTTACCAAATAAATTACAAAATAATTTACTAAATAATTTACCAAATAATTTACAAAATAATTTAAAAAATAAAGTATTAAATAATTTACAAAATTCCATTCAGGAATTTTGATCAATTGGTTTTTTGATGTGTGGTTATTTTCATAGTTCACTAAATACTTGGGAGTAAATATTCAATGTTAATATTGAAAGAGAGTTTTCTGTGTTAGAGAGTAGGAAGATAAGTTTCTATATCATGAGCTCTATTGTGATAACAAAACGCAGAAATAAGATTTATCTCTGACTTTGTGAAATTATTATTATACACTTTAATGCACACAACGTTTAAAACAATAATTCATAACCTAAGTATAAAATCTAAACGTTTATTTTATTCTAACAAAGTTTAAATTTAACGTTTTTTTCGGGGAAAAATAATTAAATTATTTATTAATTAGCAAAATTTTCCTAAATTAAAAAGCCGTAAATTTTTTAATAATCAATATTTGAATAATTATTTATCTTAATTGATTAGTAATTTAAATTTTATTGAAGATTTAAAAAAATGTTGTTTGTTAATTTTTTTTCTAATTGTTAAAAGAGAAAAAACAGTGGAAAAAAGCAATAGAATAGAGAAAGAAAAGGAAAGAGAAAAAAAAGAAAAGAATAGAAAAAGAAAAGAGAGAGCATTGAAATGTTAATAAATTTGGATTTATTTAGAATAAATCATAAAAGTTATACATTACAAAAATTATGTTTAAAAAATATGAGCAATAACCGGATTTATCGGAAATTGTATACAGATTGATTTTTTAATATTTTAAATACTTATTTTTTGTTTTGTTAAATTGAGAAAAATATCACACTTTTTTCTTCATTGAATTTCCCTTGTGAAATCCTCCTGCTCCTGAGGATGATCACTAGCCTGGGGACGTAATTCATAAGTAGCTATAACGACACCCTGACGGGGAGCTGCAGTCCATTCTCCCTTTAAACCGATATAGTCGATACGAGTTTTATCGGCGCCAGCAGTACCAGTAAAATGTAGAGTAAGATGATTCACTGACGAGAATTTCACCACTCTGTTTTTAAAGACATTTCACCCTTTAAATTATAATCAATTTTTCAATATTTTCTACTTGTTAATTTATTTATTTAATTAAATAAATAGTTATTTATTTTATCTCTTTTTAAAAGGAAAATTTATTTTTTTGAAAATATATTTATTTTTAACACGATTTTCTCTTTATTTTCAATAATATTTTAGAATTAAAATTACTAAAGTGATATTTAAATACATTTCTCTTAAATGAGATTTCAAGGAAAATTTCATTGCAGGAAAATTTTAAAGGGGAAAAAATGTAAATATTCCTGGTAGGTCAATCACATTAGATATTATAAAATGAAATTTCCTCTCGTTTTTTAAAATTATATTTCCTGTATATTTTCTTTTCTTTTAATTTATGCCCCTAAAGTTCTCAAAAATTTAATTAACGAAATTTGTTTCTTTTTCAAATTCAAATTTTATGTGATGGATTCTCTCATCGAAATTTTATTTCTTCCTAATTTTCGTTGATAAAAAATTGCCAGTCTTTTCAAAATCTTACAATCTTCAAGAATGAAGACGAAAATAAAATTAATCATAATTTCAATAAATAAATTCTTTTTTTATTACAATAATATTGCGTCACATTTGAAAAAAATTGTCGTTCGTTTAAAAATTCAGAATTTTTTGGAAGTTGTCAGAGTTACTAAAATTAATTAATCAATTTTTGAACTCTTCTTCTTCTCTTTTTAATTTTTAATGCCTAAAATATAAATTCATGAAAATCGTGTTTAAGAAAACAAAAAAAATTGTTTATCGACTTTTGCAAAATTGTTTCTAAAATATGAATAAACAAAAAAAATATATAAACTGAAGTTTGAAATAATTGAATTCGAAATTGATTAAGATTAAAATTTGAAATTTATATTTTATTTTTTGACGAATTAAATTCAGAGTCAATTAAGATTTTATTCAACGAAAGTTTTAATAAATTAAATTATATTAGAATATAAATTAATTAAAAATGTTCAGAAACTGAAGTTTTGATTAAAAAATATTTAAAAAATTTACAAAATAGGTGAAAATGAATGAAAAAGGTAAAATAGGTCAAATAAGTGATAAAATTTAAACAAAGATGAAAAAGGTGAAAAGTAACAATCGTAAAGTGTTCTGAATAATTTCGAATTGAAAGTTTCTTTCTTCGTAGATAGAAAATTCGGCATTTAAAAATTAATTTGTTAAAGGGTTAGAACTCTGGTCAGTGGGCAAAACATAGAAGACAAAAATACATACTTAATTGGATATTCATGAACTCCAATTTGGTCCCGAACTAATTCAATCGTTTGATCTACTTCAGTCTCAACTTCATCAAAAGTCATTCCAGGACGATTCTTAAACCTGAAATTTATTTTTAACTCATTCTATTCATGAAAATTGTGTTATTATTTATAAAAGTTCCCTCTCAACTTACAATTTAACACTAGATGGATGTGTATCGCCAGGACCTCCGACAATAATTATTCCTTTCAATTTCACATTTCCGGTAAATCTGAAAAGAACAGTTGATTATCTATTTCAGACTTTTTCTGTCTATTAAAATTCGTATTTTTTTAATATTGTTTAAACTTCTCATCACTTACGGAATGTTGAAGAGAATTTCATCATCTACATCACTCTCCACAAACTGAAAGAAAAAATAAAATTAGATTTCTCTCTTTTAAAAAGAGAATTAGAAAAAATAGAGAAGATTGTACACTCACATCTGATCGAGTTAAACGTTCTTCCCATGGTTTGAAAACTTTAACTCCAGTTCCTTCTTCTGATTCATTCAAACATTCGACATTTGATAAATCAATCTTTTGATAAAGATTGTATTGTACACCTAATTCTCCTTCATTGTGTGTATCACCACACTGACACTGATGATTCATTTTTATTTCTTTGATTTAGAAATAAGAAATATTTGATAAAGAATTAAGTTTTTTTCACGCTTGCCTATTGCATTAAATCCATGGACTTAAATAATCAAATTCAAAAAATTTGAACTATTTTTAGAAAATATGAGTTTGCAAATCAGGAAACTTTTCTTTATTATGATGATGAGTCACAAAAACCGTTACAAGTTTTTACTAGCGAAGGGAAATTATTTTTATCCAACGGAAATCTGATATAGTTAAAATAATTGCCGAATTGGTTCCTCTTTCAATTTTATATCACAAAGTGAATATTTTTTCCTCTCTGAAAAAATTAACCTTAAAAATTCCTCTTCTCTAGAAACTATCTGGAATTTCTGAACGTGCCGGAAAATATTCAAAATACTCTGAAGTTAGTTCCTTATCGTTTATTTCTCGAATGGAAGTATCATTTTCCCGCTAAGTTTGAAATTCGTTTTTAATTTTTATTATTTACTTATTTATATATATATATATATATATATATATATATATATATATATATATATATATATATATATAAATAAGTAAGTAATAAATAAAAAGTAAATGAATAGAAAGTAAATAAATAAATAGGAAATAAATAAAAAGTAAATAAATAGGAATTACATAAAAAGAAATTTTAAAAATTAATTAAATTTTAAAAGGTTTTTAAATTATATTCCTTGAAAATTGAAGCGAATTTTGAAAGAATTACAGTGGCAATTTTTAGAAATAATTCAATTTCATGATGTTTTTTATTGAAATTATTTGAAATTTTGAAATTTTAATTTCTGTGGAAAAATAAAGAAGAATAAGTTTTTAAATTTTTGTTTAACAAAAAGTATTGAAGTTTTAAATAATTTCATTCAGAAATTCCGAAAAATTGTTTCTTGAAAAAATGTACACGGAAAAGTTTTTGGGCGAGCCAGACGTCTCTCACTCGCCTCCCACAGAAAAGGTTTTCTGCTTTCTCTCTAAAGAGAGCTCTGATGCCCCACAAGAGAGCTCTGACGCCCCACAGTAGGAAAGCAGCAGTCTCTGTGGGTGAAATGAGCTACCAAAATGGGGCTGTCACTTTACCATAGGTACTGGTCACTCAGCGCCACCACAACAGGTACAGCGACTCGCCCAAGAACTTTTCCGTGTAGGTAATTAAAATTTTTTAAAAATAATTGTATTTCCGAAAGTAATTTTAAAAAATTGAAACAATTGAAAATGTCAAATTTAATTGAATTAAATTTAATATTTTAATGAATTTTATTTGTTTACTTTTAAAAATTATTTTGAAATATAATCGTATTTTTGAAGAATTCTAATTTCTAATTGAAAATTTTTTTAGAAGAAACTTATTACCAGGATAGATCCAGTGGTACTCTAGTACGATTGGAAAGTTCAATTATTTAATCAAAATATCTTACATTCAAATTGCTGTTAGAAATATCTTGGCTATTTCTATACGTGTTGTTTAAATAATTAAATTTAGAGAAAAACTGTTTGAAAAATTATGTCTTTTAAAAAATGAGGAATTTTCATTAAATTTCAAAAAGCAAATCTTTTAAAGTACCTAATAATGGCAACGAAAAGTTAAATTCTTTGTAATCAAAATATTTTACAATTATTTTAAAAATTTATTATTTTCATTTTCTTAAAAAATAAAAATGTATAATAACGAAAATATTTATCACAACAAAATGATGTGTCAGTCATGTGTAAAAATTATTATTTACAATGTAGTTCTCACTGTTTGTAAATCCGCATTGGCTAAATAATTATCGTACATTTTGATTAAGGACACAGATGTTCTTGGTTTCACAACTGATAAAGCTGTTCGAAAATGTTCTTTTGTAATAATTGTCGCTGACAAATCTAATTCCAGTGCATTCATTGCGGCCTCGTGACAAACTGCCTGAATTTCCGCACCCGAATAACCCTCGGTAATGTCAACCAAATCCTGAATAATAATATCGTCAGCAATTGGCATTTTCTTTAATTTTATCGAAAAAATTTCTCTTCGTGTCTCAACATCAGGAAGTGGAACGTAAATTATTCGGTCCAGCCTACCAGGACGTAGGAGAGCCTGCAATAATTTATTTATAGTTAATTATATGTAATTTATTTATAATTGCAGTTCTTGGATTGCTTGCGAATTTTGGGATTTTTTCGACTATTTTCACAAAAAGAGACCTCTTTCGATTTATTTTCAAAAATTCTTCCTCTACGAAGAACCAAAATGCGAGTTTCTCGACTATTTCCAGAAAAGGCGAATTTTTCGACTTTTTTCGAAATGTTTAAAAATTTAGTAATTAGTGAAAGGTCAAGAAAGAAAAGAAAAGAGATGTAATCGTTGAGAGTAAAAAAGCAAATTTTGTATACCTTGTCGAGTCTGTCAGGTCGATTAGTGGCGGCAACTAAAGTAACATTTCCTAATGCGGTAACTCCGTCTAATTCGGTTAAAAGTTGTGTTAAAACGCGCTCCTGAACGTTACTTCCACCGCTTTTTGATGATGACGATGCTCTTTCACCACCAAGGGCATCAATTTCATCAATAAAAATAATTGACGGTGCGACTTGTCTTGCTTTTCGGAAAATGTCCCTCACAGCTTTTTCAGAATCTCCCACCCATTTTGAAAATAATTCAGGACCCTGAAAACATAAAAGTTAATTAGGCAAATAAATAAAAGTTAAGTATTTTAAAAGTTATTGCAAAATTATTTTTTTTGAAACTTTTTAAACAAAATTTTATTTCTCCTAAATGAATGAACCGATTTAAATGAACCAAGCGGGAATATAAAGGGGATAAAATATACTTTCGTTTAGAATTAGAAAATTTTTTAAAAGTTTATTTTTTAATAATTATTTAATAAATTTTTTATAAACAATTAATTTTTTTTAATGTTCTGCGCCTTTTAAAAATTTGAAAAAAATATTAACATACACTTAAAACTATAAGAAATCAAAATCCGTTGAGAAAATTTTGGAGCGACAATTATTTTAAAAGTTATTATGAAAATTATTTTGGCGCGGTGTAGTGCATCAACGCTGAACTTAGTTTTTGATCATTTTTATCAATTTTTATGGTTATATAATTGAATAAAAATGTTAATTTGAAAGTGTTTTGTTCATTTCGTAGTTAAAAATAATGTTTTAATTCTGAAAATCATGAAAATCGCATCTCCGTTCAATATAATTTTCATTATAACTTTTAAAATAATTGTCGCTCCAAAATTTTCTCAACGGATTTTGTTAAATTGTGAAAACAGTTAAAATTCATTATCTTTCGAACGAAAATAGTTAGAGCATTGCAATTTTAATTATAGAAGGGTGTTATCACCCTAAATAAATGTCCGGAGTTATGTGACATTCTGCTAATTTTTGTGGTGTCCATATTTAAATTTTTTTTTCACCCTACTTTTGAAAATTTTTTCGTAAAAGAAAATATCAACTTTTAAGTATATTTTTTGCATTTATTCTCACCGCGATTTTTTTACTTCATTATTTGGGTCCCCTGAAGAGATACCTAAAGGTATTTGCTAAATATCTTTAGTCAGATTTTTATATTTGTTGTTAAAGCCAAAAACGCACCCTGGGGCGAAAAGTTAAATGTATTTTTACATGTTATTAAAATTTTTTTTTATTTTTCGTTTTTTTGGGGTTTATTTGTTTAAAAATGATTTATTTGACATTAGGCAAGTACTCTATCACAAAAACAAGACCGCTCACGTGAAATAAACAAAAAAATTTTTTTTTTTTTTTTGAAATTTCAATTTATTAACTTTATAACTATTCTAAAGCTTTTGTCAAATAAACAAAGATCTTTTATTTACTAAATTACTTGTTTACGTATACTTTAACTTATCTACTACTTAACACCTATTAGAAAATAGTTTTAGTAGGCTAAAAATAGAATTTAACTTTTTGCCCCAGCCATTTAACTTTTCGCCCCAGGGTGGGGCGAAAAGTAAAAAAAACAAAATTTCAAAAAAAGAACAAAACATGTATTGTATGCGAAAATATCAGAAACTTTTTTATTGAAAGTTGTAGGGGACAAGTTGCCCTACAATATTGATGTGTAAATATTTGCGTCTAAGCGGATTATATTGTCTAAAAAAAATCATTTATGCAAAATTTAACTTTTCGCCCAGTCTCCCCTACTTTTTATTTTCTGTGAAAATTTCACGAATTCTGACCCAATTATTAAATTATTCTAATCAAAAATAAAAAAATATTTTTGTTACAAAATAATTTACAAAAATGGTTTTACCGTTAAATAAAATAATTCTTGACAAGAATTCAATTACTTTCATAAATAATCAAATTCTAAGCAGGAATTTAATCATTTTTATACAATTTTTAAAAAATTTTATCGAAAGGATACAATTATTTTTTTTAATTTTTCGAAAGAATAAAAATTAACTTCAAAATTTTTGATAAAATGTTTTAGAAGAATTTACATTATTTCCACAAAAAAATATAATAAAGAAATTTCAAAAAAAAATTGCACTGAAAATAATTGAATACACGCGCAAAAAAAATATTCACATATTCAATTATTATAAAATTCGCGAAATAATTGAATTATTTTCATAAATAATAACATTTTATAAAAATTGTACCATTATTTAAAAAAAATGAAACAAATTTTTAAAAACAATTCACACATTTTTATAAATTGTAATAAAATTCTATTATAAGAATTAAATTATTTTAAACTTAATTTTTATTTTATCTCTTGAAAGAATTTAAATTGAATTATTTTGAAGAATTTTAATATGATTCTTCGCAGGAATTCAATTATTTTGAAAAATTTTAACAAGATTAAAATAATTGAATTCCTGCAAAGAATTTTATTATTTATAAAGGTAATTGAATTCTTAATAATAAAAAATTTGGATAAAATTCTTTACAAGAGTTCAATGATTTTTAATATATCAATTTTAAAATTCTTAGCATTTAAAAAGAAAAAATATTTAAAAATTTGGGAAACCAAAAAGCAAATAACCAACTTCAATAACATACTTCAACTTCCTGTGAAAAATTAACAGAATACAACGATTATTAGTGTAGAAGATAGATTATTGTCAAACGGAAAGTTGAAAATAGAAAAAATTAAAAACAGAGATATAAATTTCTCCAATTTTCTTACATTAATATTGAGAAAATTAAGATTGCTCTCGGTCGCTAAAGCTTTGGCAATCATTGTTTTCGAACATCCAGGTGGACCAAACATCAACACTCCCTTCGGTGGAACAATACCCATTCGTTTAAAGACTTCCGGATGCTTCAAAGGCCATTCGACAGCTTGTTTCAATTTCAATTTCAGTTCATTTTGTCCACCGATTTCAGACCATTTGACATTTGGCACTTCCACCAGGGCTTCCTTCATTGCCGATGGATTCACATTTCTCAAGGCGTACTCAAGATCCTCGAAACTTATCTCAATATCGTTTGTTGGGAAAAATTCCGTTTCCTTCGATAAACGTTCCTTGGCACACGATCTTGCCTCGGAACACAAACCCTCCAAATCAGCGGCTACAAAACCGTGTGTTTCCGACGATATACTTTCCACCTCCTGTTCAGTGAGATTATTCGGTACATTGATTAGAATTTTTGTCAAAATATCCTTTCGCATTATACGATCGGGAACATTGATTTCAAATTCCTTTTGTAATCTGCCCGATCTACGTAGGGCATTATCGACAAAATCCAATTTCGATGTTGTCGCCAAAACGGCAACTCTTGCATTTGTGTAACGCAATTCATCGAATAGATTAATTAACGTAGCGAGTAATTTTCTCTCTTGATCTGTACTCGAACTGGTTTTCTTCGGACAAATAGTGTCCACGTCCTCTAAGAGTATTATACTCGGAGCCTTAAGAATTGCTTCGTCGAAATATTCCTTTAATACCGTTTCCGTATCGTCCTGGGATTTGGGGATTAAATTCAAAACACTGATTGTTATCGAATTGACATTGTACTCGGATATTAGAGTATTTGCTATTGTCGATTTTCCAATTCCCAATGGACCGTAGAGTAAAATGCCTTTAATTGCATTAAATTGACTAATTTCTCCACATAATCCCAAAGCATCGTCCATTAGATTTTTTATTTTTGAAATAAGATTTCCATATCCACCTATATTTTCCAATTTGAACTTTTTTCTCTTTTCTGTTTGTACTTTATTTTCGAGAATAATCCATTTGGTGTTATAAACTGCTTTGTAGAGATTTATATTGTCTTCTGATATATTTAGTTCGGCGAAAGTTTTGCTTAAATCTTTCGTTAATTCTTCCTCCTCATCGCGATGCAAATCAGTGTCGAATTTCACTTTGACAATTTTAAATGTCAATTTTCTACAGTAAAATGGAATGGAAATTCTATTGTCGATGGCAAAAATACTATTGTCCGTGTGACTTTTAATCATCAAATCGAATTCGGATGAAAAGGTCGGTAAAGTTTGTTTTCCTAGGTATTCGATAAAAATTTCCTTAGCGAGACGTGGTGCGGTTTTTAGTTTTTGAACTTTTATGTGCGAACCAAGTCTGTCTAATTCTAAGGCTAAAAAATAAAATAAAAATGAAATTTGCAGTTAGACAATAACTAAAGATGATTTTATAAATATTTAAAAATATTTATTTATAAGTATTAATATTTATAATCGAGCTCCCGGATCAAAAAACTCGATGCGCTCGGAGGGTTTAAATTAAATCTAAAATATTCAGATTCGAAAAAATACTTTTAAGGAAAAAGAGTTGCGCATTTTGATTATCTACAAGGATACGTATTTAAAATTTTTTTTTATTTTATTTACCTTTATTTTTTCATGGGGACCTGACTGACGTGAAAGTTCCTTGTTCGAACGCAAATCGAGTTTTTTGATCCGGGAGCTCAATTATTTAAACTATATTCAAATAAACTAGCAAATTTTTTTTAAATATCAGATTCAAAATTTTAAAAAATTCATAATTATTAACTAATTATGATTATTTATTACATACTTTCTTAAATTGTAATAAATTTCTTCGAAACAATTTTAGTAAATTTCTTGGCAATAATTCAATTATCTCTAAAGAATTCAATTATTTTCAAAATTTTAATAAAATTCTTCGATAAAATTCAATTATTTCCAAAAATGTTAATAAAAATTTGCCGCAAGAATTGAAGTTTTCTATGAGTTATAAAATTCTTCGGAGGAATTCAATTATTCTCAATACAATTTTAATAAATTTGAATTAAATTTTTTTCTTAAAAGAATTCATTGATTTTCAAAACTTTTTAATAAAATTCTTTTTGAAAGAATTCAATTATTTTCCAACATTTTACTAAAATTTTTGTCAAGAATTTAATTATTTTTAAAAATAATACAATTTTTCGATGGATTCCATTATTTCAAAAATTGTAATATATTTCTCAACAAGAATGCAATTATCTTCATAAATTACAAAATTCTTCGCAGAAATTAAATTATTTTCAAAAAATATAATAAAATTCTTCACAGAAATTCAATTATTTTTAAAACAATTTTAATAAAATTTCTCGAAAGAATTCAATTATTTTTAATACAATTTTAATAAAATTGAATTTTTTCTTTAAAAACGAAACAAATTCAATTATTTTCAAAAGTTTCAATAAAATTATAGGTATACTTAGATTGTAAGAGTATTTATGGAACAAAAGGGCTTGTCCCGTTTATTATGAATAAATAAATAAAATAATTTAAGATTTGAAACTATAAAAGTTGAAAAAATTAGAATAAAATTTTTTTAAACAAAAATTTCATCTTTCAAAATTAAAAAAAATCCACTGATGGAAAATAATATAATTTCTATAAATTTTTCTTGCGAAAATATTTTTACGAAACTTATTGTCTGAATAAGTAAATAATAAATCTGAATCTAAATAAATTTTAATTACGCTAAAAATTTTAATTTATTAAAACAAAAGTTCATTTTTAATAAATTTAATTTTAAAACTGAAGAATTATGTTTAAAAAAAACTTGATAATCATACCACTTTTTGTTAGTGATACACTAACGACATTTGAATTGTTAGAATGGAAAGCAGTTTTAACAACAACATTATTTCCAACAACAATTACGTCATCACCTAAAGCAATATTGCAAAATTCCATAGCGGAAGTTGATAGAAATATCATTTTATTAGCTTCAGTTTCGCTAATATTCTCTGGCATATCTGTAACAAAATATAATTATATTTTCGTAGAAGAAAATAGGAAATAACATCATAATAAATATAAATACAAAAGTATAAATATAATAATTTATAATAAACATAATAACATAAAAAATCGTCACTTACCCTTCGCATTGTAAATTTCAACCAAACTATGCAAAACTCCGTTTCGTATAAATCTGTAAATCCAATTTTCCTTAGGTGGAGGACATTCCTCCAAATGATTTTCATTGTCTTCTGTACTAATAAGACAGTCACATTTATCACATTTTACCCATTTAAATGCATTCGATCTTTTTCTTGACGTCATATTTCCAAATTTGTTTAACTAATTTTTGTCGTTAGTTAAATAATTGATAAAATTTTATGAATGAAAAACAGGAAAATTGAGGAAAATAAATGTAAAAACAATTTTAAATGTCAACCACGTGGTTTTTGTTTTCATACTTTTGTTTAGATTTTGTTCCAATTAATTAAGTTAATTGATATTTTAACTTGAAGAGATAGATAAACATAAAGTAATTGATATAGATCAGAGTTTTTAAAACGAAAACTAATTATAAATTACTCTACGTTATGGTTATATTTCCTAAACTTCGTGTTTTTATCTTATCTGTCAAATGTTTAGGTTAGGTTACTTTTTTTCTCGATATATTTATATATATATCGAAAAGACCGAAAACTTATATCGATATAAGACAACTTCAGAGTTTTAACTTTTGCACACGTGCTGTTTGAGGTTAGACTTCTGTAAATAATAACAGATTTATTCCGCTGGTTTATTGTTATAAAAAATAAAAGAGGGAAGGAGATATTTCGTTTATTGAATTTCTCAAAATTGAAATATTTAACAATGGCCGATGATAATATACCACCGATAATTGCTCGATTAGCAGTTGATCGAGTTGATACGAATTTCTTTCAAAATCAAGAAGTTCAAATGAATTATTATACTCCAGGAGAGGAAGTTTCTACTCAGGGTGATTTTTTAAGGTATTTTTAAATAGTTGCGAATATTTTACAAGTTCTGCAGTATTAGAAATTGTAATAATTATTTTTCTTAATTTAGATTTTAATTTATTGTTTCCTCATAGAGAAAGGATTGTATTTAGATTTTGATTTATTTGGATTTTAATTTATTTAGATTTACATTTATTTGGATTTTAATTTATTTAGAAGATGAAAATATAAATTAGAAACTAATTTGTCGATAAACTTTAATAGAGGTCATGGCACTTACATGGACGAGCATAAAACTTTACGCTCATCAGTGGCTGGTGTTTTAGAAAAGGTGAATAAATTAATTTCGATAAAGCCATTTAAGACTCGTTATCAGGGCGAAATTGGTGATGTTGTCGTTGGTCGAATTACAGAAGTACAACAAAAGAGATGGAAAGTCGATACAAATGCGAAATTAGATTCGGCACTTCTTCTTTCCAGTGTTAATTTACCTGGAGGAGAATTGGTAAGATAGATATCAAATTTATTTTATTTTGTCAAAATTATTCGATTCTAACGGATTAAATTATTCTCTGGTTAATCAAATTATTCCAGACTTCGTACTCATCTGGAAATTTTAATAATTTTTTTTAAACAAATCAATTATTTAAAAGAATTTTAGTAAATTCGTCGCAAAAATTCAATTATTTTCATATATAATAACACTTTCAATTATTTTTCTAAATAATAAAATACGTTGCAAGACATTCGATTATTTTTAATAGAATTTTAAATGAATTCCGCGAAAAATGCAATTAAAAAATGTTGATATAATTAGTTTATTAGAATTTATTAAATTTCTTGAAAGAATTTCATCATCATAAGTTCATAAGTTAAAAAATTCATTAGAGAAATTTAATTATTTTTAACAGAATTTTAACAAAATTGAATAGATTTGAACTGTTTTTTTTAAAGAATTAATTATTAATAAATTAATTTTCAAAAGTTTTTAATAAAATTCTTTGAAATAATTCAATTCTTTTCAAAAGTTTTAATAAAATTCTTCACAAAAATTCAATTACTTTCAAAAATAATAAAATACTTCGCAGAAATTCAATTATTTTCAAAAGCAATCAAATTCTTCTCCGAAATTCAATTTTTTTCAAAAATTTTAATAAAATTCTTCACAAGAATTTAATTACTTTCATAAAAAGAAAAAATATGCGAAGAATTTAATTATTATCAAAAATTTTAATAAAATACTTAACAAAAATTCAATTATTTCCATAAATGTGACCTGGACAGTGAAAAGGGACCTTACGTGCGAAAACAAGTTTTCGAGAAAACAGTAGTTAAAGTTTAACTTAGAAAAACCCTTGTAACTTTTTTAAATATTAATATTTTTTAATCAATTTAGGCTTATTTTCTTCACCGTGGATCACAGTATCAAAATAAAAAACATACAAGTAATGAAATTTTTTTAAAATAATTATTTATATAAATTAATAACAAACTCCCCAAACATAGAAAAAATAATCTAAGTTTTCTAACTGGCAACAATAAGTATAAATAAGTGACACATGTTTGTAAGGGTAAATTGAATTTTAACTGTTGACAGTTGTCCAAGAAACTGTCAACTTTTCTAAATAATAAAAAATTATCGTCTTCGTTATTTTAATTTGTATAATAACAAAAAATCAGTTTTTTCGTATTTTTACTCTTGTTTCTTTTGACTTAAAATTTTTTTTTTAAACTTCTAATCAACTTATGACTTTTTGGTTTTCACCATCTTAAAGAGTGTTTCAAACCCTATCCGAATCAACAAAAAAGTAAAAAATGATTTTTTGACACGTAATGACGTAAGGTCCCTTTTCATAGACCAGGTCACAAATAACAAAATTGTACGCAGAAATTAAATTATGTTCAAATATTTAAAAAAATTCTCGTCAAAATTTCAATTATCATTAAAAATAATTAAATTCTTCACCGAAATTAAATTATTTTCAAAGAATCTAATAAAATTCTTCGCAGGAATTCAATTAGGATTTTTAATACAATTTTAATAAAATTTCTCGAAAGAATTGGATTATTTTCAACATTCTTAATAAAATTTGTCGCAAGAATTAAATTTTTTTCATAAGTTACAAAATTTTTCCTAAAAATTTAATTATTTTGAATATTATTTGAATACAATTTCTTGATGGAATTAAATTATTTTTAGAAAGTTTAACAAAATTTGTTAATAGAATGCACTTATTTTTAGAAATTCTCATAATCTCTTTAGAAGAATTTAATTATTTTCAGTACAATTTTAATTAAATTCCTTGTACGATCTAACTTGCCCTTCAAAAAGGGTTTTCATTGAAATCTGTTAAAATATTTGAATTTCTGTGGAAAAGTATTTAAATGTTTATTTAAAAAAAAATTGTTCTAGTTTTAAATGTAATTTAATTTAGAAATTGAGGCCTTGGATCCAATAACTCGCCCGACGCTCGGAGGAACGCGCAACTGCCAGTCAGTGAGCAGTGAGCGCCTCTGGGCCACTCACTGGTACCCGACTGGTATTAGCGCGTGTCTTCGAGCGTCGGGCGAGTTATTGGATCCAAGGCCTCAATTATGAAAAAATTGAGTCATCAAGTTTCTTAAAGTCTTGAAGTCTTGAAGCTACTTTTTGCTACTTTGTTAAAATAAATTATCGAGTACGAAGTCTATTATTCTCTAGTTAATTAAATTACTCTCTAGTCGATTAAACAATTCTCTAGTTAATAAAATTATCACATACAGTAGAAATAATAAGAATGACTTTTTCTTTAAAAAACAGAGACGAAGATCTGTGGAAGACGAGCAAATGATGCGTCGCTATTTACAAGAGGGCGATTTAATTTGCGCCGAAGTACAAAGTATATTCGTCGACGGATCTCTTTCGTTACACACACGTGTTCTTAAATATGGAAAATTATCCCAGGGTATTATGCTAAAAGTCGCTCCTGGCCTGATAAAACGACAAAAAACACACTATCACAATCTCGCAAATGGAGCAATTCTAATTCTCGGCAATAATGGATACATTTGGATTGGAGCAAACACAGCGGAGACCGATCGCTCCGAAGGTGGTTTCACACAAGATTTATCACGTATCTCACAACAAGACAGAGAAGTTTGTTCGCGTCTACGTAATTGCATTCTCATACTATCTGAATGCAATTTCTTCCTGACTGACACAACCGTAACTTATGCTTACGAGGAATCTATGAAATACAAAATAAGCGAACTCCTTCTTCCCGAAGTAATGGTCGATATCACTCTCTTGACACACCAGAGACTTAATCAATAATTATTATTTTTTGTGCTACGATTTTTCATTTTATACAAATTAACCAAGAATATAAATTTAATTTTCAAAAAACTATTGGTAATAGAAATTTAACTTTTCCACACATTTTCAATTTTTGTATATACACATTGCATTTTTAAATTCGACAATACGTCTACTTGAAATATATATTTGTGCTTAATTTAAAATAAGTAAAAGGTGAAAGTTTATGTATGTGCTTTATAGTTGTGTGAGAAATATTGCACGAGGATAATATCAAGTATCGATTACACAAACTTCTTGGATACGTAAAAGTAATGCAGCATCATGGACGCGTGTTTTACTGCATTCGATAAAGACGGTGATGGATTTCTTTCATTAGCTGAATTTGAACTAATTTGCCGTGCACTATTTCGTAATGATCGCGGTAAAGTTTATGAACTCGAGGAACAACAATTGAAAGATATTTTCGCTGTTTTCGATACCAAGGGTGATGGTTTGCTTGACAGGATAGAATTTGAGGTATATATCCGCATCATTAGCGTAAATAGTATTTCGATTTCAATTTTAAGGTAGTTCACCTGCAGTATTCTTCTTTTTTATGGCCTTATTATCTATTGTTTACACCCGAGGAAGATTTGTTTTTTTCAAAACAGACATAAACTTTACACCATTTATTAAACAGAAAGAAATTATATTTCTCTTAATTGTCAAAAGGAAACAATTTCTAGAATAATCTGTATTAATAACTAGCAAACATTATGCGGTATTTCATTTCTTATTATTTTGCAAATTACAACATTTTTTATTTTTAAATATCAAACTCAACTTTTTTGAATAATTTCACAATCGAAATTTAAAAAAATTCATTTATTAACTAATTATTATTATTTATTATTTTCTTAAATTGTAATAAATTTCATCGAAACAATTCAAATAAATTTATAAAATTTTACCACAATTTTTCGAAGGAATTCAATTACGTATTTTCAATTCTTAAATAATAAAATTTTTCGCATGACTTCAATTACTTCAAAATTTTAATACAATAAATTTAAATTAGATTTCTAATTAGATTTCTTGGAAGAATTCAATTATTTTAATAAATAATAAAAGAAATTAAATAATTTTTAATTAAATTTTAATAAAAATTTCCCTAAATAATTCAATTATTTTTAAAACTACAAAAATTATTTTCTGTATTTCAATTATTTTAAGAAATTTTGTTAAAATTCTTCATGTATTCAATTCTTTCAATATAATTTTAATTCAATTTTCGAAAGAATTCAATTATTTATTCTTCGAATTTAATTAGAATTTCCTTAAACAATTAAATTCTTTAGAGAAATTTTATTAAAATTGTATTGAAAATAATTCAATTATATTAAAGATTGTGATAAAATTCTCAGAAAAATTTAATTATTTCCAAACATTTTTTTAAAAATAATTTTAAAAATTTTAAATGTGTAAAAAATATCATTTGTTTTGAAGAAATTAAATTCTTTGGAAAAATTTAGTTAAAATTGTTGTGAAAATAATTAAAATCTTATAAATAATTTTATCCCAATTTCTGAAAATAATTTAATTTATTCGAGGAATTTTATAAAAACTTTAAATAATAGGTACCTAATTAAATTCTTTATAAAAGTTTGTTTAACATTGTATTCAAAAATTAAATTTTTATAATGAATTTTATTAAAATTTTTGAAAATAATTGGTTCCTTTCGAAAAATTTTTATAAATTGAATACTTTCAAAAAACTTTATAGATAATCGAATTCTATCAAGAAATTTTATTGAAATTGATTGAAAAATAATTGAAATTTTTTAAAGAATTTTATGAAAATGTTTGAAAATAATTAAATTTCCGATATAAATTTTATAACTTATAAAAATAATTCAATTTTTGCTAAAAATTTTATTAAAATTTTTGAAAATTATTTAATTTCTACAAAGAATTTTGTTATTCATGCAGAAAATTGAACTCTTGCAAAGAAATTTAATTAAAAAATTTTGAAAATTAAATTTTTACGCATTTAGTAAACAGCTTGATTTTTTTGCTATGTCTCTGGACAAATTTAAAGCCTCACTACGAATAATTAACACTTTCGAAAACTAAATCGTTTATTCGCGCGCAATTATAATTGTTATCATATTATAAATTTTTATTGTTATTATAATTTGTTAAAAATTTTGTTAAGTACAATGTACAAAAGGGCTTCAAGCCCGTAAAAATGAAATAAATAAATAAATAAATAAAATACAAATTGAATTTTTTCAAAGAATTTTATTAAAAACTTTTGAAATTCAATGAATTCTTTTATGAAAAAAATTTAAATTCTATTTTATTAAAATGCTATTGAACTCATGAAAATAATTTATTTTTTACGATAAATTTTATTAAAATTTTTAAAAATTATTCAATTCTGTGGAGAAATTTTATAAAAATCGTATTAAAAATAATTAAATTCCTGCGAAGAATTTTGTATTTAATTTTTTGAAAATAATTTAATTTCTGCTAAGAATTTTGTTATTTATGAAGATAATTGAATTCTTGACAATACTGCGTAAAATTTGCTAGTTAATTTTTAATAATACAGGTGAACTACTTTATAGAAGAATAAAAATAATTTTGAAATTCAGGTCTGTTGGAATCGATGGATTAAAGTATGCACAAGGCCAAAAAGTGCGTTTCTGATTGTGGACGTGCAGAATGATTTTATAAGCGGTTCACTTAATATACAAAACTGCGCTGCTCAACACGATGGTTCAGAAGTTATTGAACCGATAAATCGTTTATTGGAGAACGTGCCTTTTGATGCGGTTTTCTATTCTCTCGATTGGCATCCGGTAGATCATGTTTCTTTCATCGATAATCTCCATCTTAGGTAAAATGAAAATTTAACACTTGTTCTTGATACGACGCATAAAAAATTCTAATTAATTTGATTTAATTTTAATTTGATTAATTTTTCACTTAATCATTTAATTTGATTAATTGTATTTTTCTACTACTCAAGAATAAAATAAATTTTAAGGGATATCGATTTATCGACTGGAATAGCGAAAGAGGAGATACACGTTTACGATACTGTGACATTTATCGGTCCACCTGAATTAAAGCAAAGATTATGGCCGAGGCATTGCGTTCAGGATTCATGGGGTGCTGAACTGCACAAGGATTTGAAAATTGTTGAGAAGGCAATTAAAATTTATAAAGGAACAAATCCTGATGTTGATTCATATTCAGTATTTTGGGATAATAAAAAATTAACCGAAACAACACTCTCGTCACAATTGCAAGCGAAAGGTGCAACTGATATTTATATTTGCGGTCTTGCCTATGATGTTTGTGTTGGAGCAACGGCCGTCGATGCTCTTGCTAGTGGTTATCGAACAATTTTAATCGATGATTGCAGTCGTGGAGTTGATTTGGTGGACATCGAGAAAACAAAATCAACAGTTATTGCAAATAATGGCGTAATTGTTAATTCGAGTCAAGTTCAGGCAATGGTCGAGGGACGTGATCGAAGACCCGAACTCGGTTATAAACTCGCAATGGAAATAAAACAGACGCTAAATAATAAAATAAATAAATAGAGAAATAATTTCAAATCAAAATTATATGAAAGTATACGAAATGTGAATATTCTCACTTTGAAGAAAACTTCAAAATCGAAATTGAAATTAGCCTTTTTAATTAGAAAGGATTATTTTTCAAGCTGTTTTAGGAAAATACCTAGCCTTTTAGAAAATGCGATTGTCATTCGAATTTCTTATTAGAAAATTAGAAATAAAACTAGTTTTAGAACTAGATGTAAAAAAGAATTCTACAAAATATTTTTTCAAAATTTAGAATAACTTGACGATAAATGAAATTGAGATATTTTTTTTATTTATTATATGTAGATAATTGATGATAATTCCTTGTTAAGCTTTTTGTAAATAGATATTGCAGTTATTATTTAAAATCTTTTTAACTTGCGCATAATGTAATTGTAAATAAAACTTTTCTTGGATTGTTAGAAAAAAATGTTGCGAAATAAATATTGAAAATGTTAAAGCAGACTGAATTATTGTATTCTTAACCCTCTTTCCTTTAATGTAAAAAAAAACATCCGAAATAAATATTAAAAATAAAAAGTGTAAATTATTGTATTTTTAACCCTCGTCTCTTTCTACTAAAATCAAATGCTAATTAGTGATTTATTTTTATTTTCCAGGTTCATTTTCATGAAGAGCAAAGACAATCAACAACGGTGAGCAATATTGTATGAAATTTGAAATTTTTATTATTAAAATTTAAATTAAAAGTATTTAAAATTTATTTTTGAAAAATTTAATTTTTAAAAAATGTTTTACAAATATAAAAATTTAATAATTATCTACTTTTAAATCATTAATTCCGAGCTCTTCGTTCTGTTCAAAAGTTCTCTCGTATTTTGTAATTTTCATTCTATCGTCTGGTCCATCGTCCGATAGACTTTGTATAAAACTGTTTCCAGCGGGATCGTCTAAAATTAATGTCACTTCTTTTCTACTGTCGAGAATTTCCTCTAATTGGGAAATAAATTTATCTAATCTATCAACAGTTTCCCTATCACTTGAATCGCCTATAAATGCCGTGGAATTTGAGAGTTGATTTTTAATTGATATTATAATTCCCTCGACTGTGGTAAATCTCCCTCCAAATGTTGTGGGTCCAACTTCTAATTCCAATTCTGGAATTTCCATGTGACAGGTGTCTGATTTCAAAATATCACGACTAAAATCATTTCTACCTGTTATTTTCACTTCTATTTTAGCACCTTGGGGTTCTATTCCCGTTCCACTTTTCACTTCGTTTGTGCGATGTCCACAAACATCGCAGGTTGTTGCCATTATTACCACTTCCTTGAAGTACGGAATATCTTTAGGTGATAAATTAAGGAAATTTCTGGAAATAATTGAAATTTGCGTCTAATTTGAAAGTAATATAATTTGTATAAAAAAAGTATTGAAGTTAATAAATTCAATTAACAGGTTTGCTACAGGTCTGGAAATTTAAGGAAATGTAAAATTGGTATGGGAAAAGTCAGGGATTTTTATTAAAATTTAAAAGTAGTGGAAAAAATTTAATTTTTAGAATTCATAAGAAAATTATGAATTTTTATGTCTTTTTTGTTTGCCTCATAAACTATAAAATTACCACGAATTTGAATAAAAATAATTTTATTTTTTTATTTTATTTTAAATAATGGAAGAATTTTAGTTAAAAACACTAAAAAAATTGAATTTAGGAGAAGTTACAAATGATTGAAGAAATTCCATTACTTTCAAAAATAATAAAATTCTTCGCAGAAATTCAATTATATTCAAAAATTTTTTTAAATTCTCTTAAAAATTTAAATTATTTTCAAAAGTAATCAAATTCTTTTCCGAGATTCAATTATTTTTAAAAATTTTAACAAAAATTCTTCGTAAGAATTCAATTGAGGGCGTGGATCGAATAACTGCCCGTAGTGCATGGTCGAAAGGAACTATACCAGTCAGACATCAGTGAGAGGCCTAGAGGCGCTCACTGTTGTCTGACTGTTATAGTCCCTTTCGGCCATGCGCTACAGGCAGTTATCCGATCCACGCCCTCAATTATTTTCATAAACAGACAAATTTTGCCCAGAATCCAATTATTATCAAAAATTTTAATAAAATTCTTCAATAGAATTCAATTATTTCCATAAATAAAAAATTGTTTGTAGAAATTCAATTATTTAAAAAATTTTTTAAAACATTCTGGTCAAGAATTCTATTATCTTCATAAGTTTTCCAAAATTCAATTATTTTCAAAAATTTTAATAAAATTTGTCGCAAGAATTAAATTTTTTCCATAAGTTATAAGTAAAATTCTTCAGAGGTCTTCAATTATTTTCAAATAAATTTCTATAAAATTTCTTGATAGAATTCAATTATCTATAAAATTTTTTATACAATTTCTTGAAATAATCAAATTATTTTTAAAAATTTTAATAATATTTATCGCAATAACTGAATTTTTTTTTCATAAGTCATAAAATTCATCAGGGGAATTCAATTATTTTCATTAGAATTTTAATGAAATCTCCGAAACAAATTGAATTATTTTAAAAAATTTTAATAAAATTCTTGGCAACATTTAAATTATGTATTTAAAAAAAATTTTCTCAATTCAATGATTTTCAGTATCTACTGTTTTAATAAAATTTTCCAAAAGAAATCAATTATTTACAAATTGCTTATAAATTTCTTTGCAATAATTCAATTATTTTCATAAATAATAAAATTTTTTACAGGAATTCAATTATTTTTTAAAATATTAATAACATTCTTTTTAAGAATTCAATTATTTTCATTAATAATAAAACTCATCTCAGAATTTCAATTATTTTTAATAGAATTTTAATCGATTTTCTTCAAAAATATAATTATTCTTAAAAATTTTATTAAAATTCGTCAAAAATATTCAATTATTAAAAAATTTGTTAATAAAATTTCTAATAGGAATTGAATTCCAAGAAACATTCAATTATTCAATAAATTATTTATTTTTGTATTTATATAATTGAATTCTTGTAGAATTTTCTAATAAAAATTGATTTAAAAATAAATATTAGTTAAAATTTTGGTAATTTGGTAATTTACTTGGAGTAATCGATTTCTTCATGTTTTATAATATTCTTATAATTTGTTGAATTTCAAAAGGGTTTGAATTTAAAATTTTTGATAATCTGATTTTCAATTGAAAAATAATACATTATGATTAAATATTTATTTAAAAATGAAGTTATTGATGTTTTCAAATAATTTTACAATTAAAGAAATTCGTAAATAAATGTAATAGAACATTTTTTTGAGTACCTAATTATTTTTAGAGTGAAATCAGAATATTCTTCAGGATCAGGGTAAAAGTCAAATTTTTTTCTAGAAATCCAGGAAAAGTCAGGGAAGAACAAAATTAAATTTTTTTGGTCACCCTGATTAAGTAAATACTTAATAGAAAGTAATCTAGTTTGCAATTTGAAAATAATCCAGTTTGTTTAAAAAAAAATGAGATACTAATTTTTGTAAAAGGATACTGGTCACTTTCATGTTCGTCTCGCAGGGACTGTTGCACTCGGGACAATTTGTCGGAAATGTTAAAACTTCGCCTTCAATTTCCTCCAAAGGAAACTCTCCCTCTTCAATTGGTTTCAATAATTTATCCTCATTTTCCAAATAAATTCCTAAAATGTGATTTTGTTCTAAAGTTCGTTTAAAGAATGTTATTTCGCAATTGGCGTCTTTAAGAGGCATAAGTGGATTCTCTACAAAACAATCTCCGGAAATATCTTCAAATATTATTTTGTACGGTTCTTGACATTCCTTAAGAATTTCAAGTTTTTCGACAAATTTTTCAATTTGTGTCGCTATGTCCGCATTTTCCGTCTTTCTTTTCGCTTGATCTTGTTCTAAACCAGCGATGCTGCGTTCAATTATTCCTTCGACAGTGGTTACCTCTAAAAATAATTTTTTATCGTTAGCAAATATTTCTGTACAGAAACTGTTTTAAATAAATTAAGACTAAATAAACTAAAGTAAAATTAAACTAAAACTAACTGAACAAAAAATAACTATCGAACAGCTCCAATTTGGAAAGAATTTTGATAATTAAATAAGAAACATAATTAGAATCTTACCTCCTTTTTGCGATTGTGCAGGAATTTCAAAATCTAAATGAGGTATTCGAACAGAAGTGTAATCGGATTTTACCACCTGTCTATTTAAATCGCTATTGGTAACTATAGTCAAAGTAATTTTAATTCCTTTTTCTGTAATTTTTCCCGCATTCTGAATCTCATTATTTTGATAACCACAATGTTCGCAAGCAAATGACGAGATCACTATGTCCTTGTAGTACGGAATTTTTGTAAGCAGTAACTTTGTAACCCCCTGAAAATTAAAAGAAAACGAAAATGAATAGCAATATTTAATTTAGATACAATAAAAATTAGAATTAAATCATTTAAAAATTTGTAAATATCAGTAAAACCGAACGAGCTATATCGAGTGTGGCAGATTTATTTTCATTTTTAATTAACAATACAAAGCAAACTTACATTTTTTCCACAGTTCATACATAAACTTTCAATAACAGTTGATTCGGATTCTGATCCTTCAGCTGAAAGTTCGTTAAATAATGGGTTTTTTTCATTTTTACTCCGCTCTTCGGATTTTGACATTTTGACTAAATTATAGGTTATGTTGACTCATACCCACGTGGTTGACTCAATTTCCTTCAGGGCCGTCAACGCCGTCAATAAAACAAGATTCTTCAAAATAAAAGAATTGAAATTAATTTTTAATTCTAACTAAATATTTAATCAATGAATTAATTAAAAAAAATAATGAATTAAAATGTGTAATTTTTGTAATGGCGTAAAAAATAAGTGAATTATATTAACAAAATTTGAATGAATAGAAACTAAAGATTTTTAATAATGTATTTATTTCAATAATCCTTCTAAATTTGAAGGTATGTTACATTTTTCTTAAACAATTCTAATAGCGAATCGAAAAATATTCTCATTATTTAAAAACAATTGTTAACAAAAAAATTTTTTTTTTATTTAGAACGAAAGTTTATAAAAAAAATAAAGACATAATTCAGTCTAATCTCTGATCAGATTGAAATAAAATAATGAACTTATAGATAATGGTTTGCGTTTAGACTTATTAATTATTAAAACATAAAACAATGGAAACAACAATAACAAGATCTTTATAATAAAGAATATGGAAAAAAACACAACTGATATTGCTTTGAATTAAAAAGCATAAAAACAATAATATTGGGGGAATTGATATAAAATATATATTTTTAATTTTTTATTATTACGTGAGTAATTAAATGAGACTCGCTGTAAGTAATAAGTAAAACGCAAACCAATAAAGCTAGTAACTATTATTAATCCGTTCATTTAATTTCGTTTGACGAATAAAAAAAGTGATTTTCCTTAATATATTTCTTTTTTTCGCACCAGGGGTTTTGAATTATCACTAAATAATCAGCCTCAAGATGTTTCTCATTCAATGAGCAAATATTTCATGAACCTCTTTGCCTTTTTTCTTTTTTTTTCTTTCTTCTTTTTCCATTCGAATTCTTAATCATCTTCGGAGGAGCTGCTGAAATCTTCATTGATATTTAAATTGGCGGCTTCTCCATCTGAAATTGTTAATTTATTATTATTATATAATAACTAGCTGCGATACCCGTCTTCGACGGGTTATTAGTTATTGTTATTCCTAGTTATATATTAATAGCTGCGATACCCGTCTTCGACGTGTTTCTTAGTATTTTTATAGTTTTCCATATTGAGTATTGATTGGTATTTAACCAACTACATTGAAAATAATTTTCTTGATGATTATTAATATTAATTAATGAAGAAGAAAACGAAATTTTAAGGAAAGAAAAATGATAATGTTTACAATTTTTAAAATCGCCCTAAATGTGAAAACCATCATGGCTTAATAACGGTCCAGTACTGGCAAAGTTGTCACCTAGTCTTGGTCGATATTATTGGGACTACTCTTGTGGTGTTAATTACGGTTTGACGTCGGCAGACGTTAATGGCCCAATATTCACTGCCATTACTTTCCCAGTATTGGCAAAATACAAAAACTAATATAAATTATTCCATTTTTTATTAATTAACTACGTCCCAATATTGGCAATTATATTTTGCCATCATTGCAGATACAAAATTTTTACTATTAATGTGCCATTACTGAGCCGATCAACGTCCCAATATTCTGAAACTGAAAATACCAACGTTCATTCGACGAAAATTTTTACTTTAGCTAATTGCTTATTTTAATATTAACACCCTTTTGAAAAAATTACAAAAGGATCACGGATTTCCCGAAATTCCTGGAAATTCAACTAAATTATTGTTTCCTCGCCTCGCAAGCATTTTTTTCTCTTAATAATCAGAATCCATTTAAAAAAATTGCAAGAGGATTCGAGGCGAGGAAAGTTGTGATTTTTATTTTTTTGTCACGGATTTTCCAAAAATCCGAGAATTCAGTTTTATCCAATACTTTCAATTACAACTTTCCATCATAAATAGAAAAGTTTAGCCTAATAGTCTGATAATAATGTGCCACTATTGGTCCGTGCTAAGTCCCGTTACCAGCAATGAGACGTTTTTAATGCCAGTATAGGTCCAGTAGTTTTTGCCAGTTTTCTGCAGACATTCACTGAAAAAATTACATTTTAATTTTAAGAAAATCTTAATATTAAAATCTTAATATTCTTATATTCCCCACTTAGATTATGTGGGAAATATTCTTACAATAAGAAGAAAATTAGTATTGTAAGAATATTTCCTACTTAATTTAAGTGGGGAATATTCTTGGCGCATATTTAAGAAGTTTTTCTTAAAATTAGAATGTAATTTTTTCAGTGCTGACGGGCCCGTTTTGCAGTCTTAGAATTTCGCATTTGGAGCTTATAAAAAACCATTTTATTATCTTTTTTTCCGAGAAGCACCACGTGGAGGTGACCACTATTGGTTGTTTTTGGCAAGTTTTTAAATCCCGTGCAGAAATTGCCCTAACAGGGCCCTGACCCCGCATGAAACCGGGAACCCGACCGGGCCCCGGCCTGGTAGCTAGTCCAATCGGGCTTTTCGTCATGGCGCTGGGCGGGTTCCCTGTTTCACCCCTGTCTGGACCCGGCCAGGCCCCTGTCAAAATTTCTACTCGGGATTATTCTCCAGGCGCTTTGTAAAACTAAAAAAAAATTCTTGTTAATTAAATTCGATAAAAAATATGAAACATTTTTATTTCAGTATTACTAAATTATCTTGGATCATAATTTGTAAAAACAAAAAACATCTTATTTAGAAGTAATAAGTAGGTAAAATCAAAAAAATTAGATATTAATATTTTCAATTTTTATGGGTAAAAATATTTAAACTTTTAAATTTTATATTTAAAATTCCTATTTTTTTCTATTTTTATAATAAAATTGAAATTAAAATTACCAAGAAAACAAATTAATTAATTAATTAGAAAATATCAATACCAACTTAATGCAAGAATTAATTAATATTTAACCCTTTGAGTAGCAGTGATACATTTAATTTATATGAACATTTTTTTGTTAACTTCTGTATAACTTTCTTGATTTTAAAAACTGAATATTGAAACAATTTTTTTGGTCAAATGAGGCAAATTTCTTGCTTTAAATACTGGTCTTTAAATAAAAAAAGTTTAATAACTTTCCATAAAAAGCTTGTTTAAAAATCAAAAATCATCATTTTTGTAGAAAAAATTTGATCAGAAAAATCGAAAAAAATTTTTGAAAATACGTCTTTTTTTGAAATTTTAGTATAGAAATGGGTTGTATTTATCTAAAAAGTTAGTTAAGGATAGTTTTTCATCCATTTTATAAAAAATAAAAATTTTTCATTTTTTTGATTTTTCGAATTTTTTGAAAAAATGTCGTAACTTTCGTTTAAGTTAATATTTTTTAATCGGATAAGGCTATGATTTTAAGTTACGTTAATACCTAATAGACTGCCAAGTTTCACTTCAATCGGTTGAACCGTTTTCAAGTGATGCGCGAACAAAGTTTTGCATACAGACAGACAGACAGACAGAAGGACAGACAGACAGACAGACAGATAGACAGACAGACAGACATTTTTTTTTTTACATTTTTCGAATTCTCATGTCTCAAGAAGAAAAAATATATAAGAATTTTCAAGATTGGAGCAATGTACAGACAGAAGTCTGATTTTATTAATATAGATAATTATTTATTTTTATTTAATAATAAATTTATTACTATAATAATTAATTATGTTCCTAAGCAGAGTTGCCACAAAAATTTACTTTCGTTTTTCTCTGATTTCCAGACAGAATTTTGACTTTTTCCTTAAAAAAATAATTTTTTATAAAGTTCTTCGAAAATTCAATTATTTAAACAAAAAAAGAAAATAATACTGAAATCCACTTGTTTATGAATTAATTTTACCAAATTTTAATTATTTGAAAATTTTTCAAAATATTTATTTTAAAAAAAATTATCTATATTAATAAAATCAGACTTCTGTCTGTACAATGCTCCAAGCTTGAAAATTTTTATATATTTTTTCGTTTTGAGACATGAGAATTCGAAAAATGTAAAAAAAAAATTTCTGTCTGTCTGTCTGTATGCAAAACTTTGTTCGCGCATCACTTCAAAACGGTTTTACCGATTAAAGTGAAACTTGGCAGTCTATTCGGTATTAACGTGACTTAAAATCATAGCCTTATTCGATTAAAAAATATTAATTTGAACGAAAGTTATGACATTTTTTCAAAAAATTCGAAAAATCAAAAAAATGAAAATTTTTTTTTTTTATAAAATGGATGCAAAACAATCCTTAGCTAACTTTTTTAGATAAATACAACCCATATCTATAATAAAATTTTAAAAAAAGACGTACTTTGAAATTTTTTTTCGTTTTTTCTGATCAAATTTTTTTTTACAAAAATGAAGATTCTTGATTTTTAAGCAAGCTTTTCAGGGAAAGTTATTAAAGTTTTTTATTTAAAGACCAGTATGTAAAGTAAGAAATTTGCTGCATTATACAAAAATATTGTTTCAATATTCAGTTTTTAATATCAAGAAAGTTGTGCAGGAGTTAACAAAAAAATGTTCATATGAATTAAATGTATCACTGCTACTCAAAGGGTTAAATATTGATTAATTCTTGCATTAAGTTGGTATTGATATTTTCTAAATTATTAATTAATTTGTTTTCTTGGTAATTCTAATTTCAATTTTATCATAAAAATAGAAAAAAATAGAAATTTTCAATCTAAAATTTAAAAGTTCAATTAATTATTTTTACCTATAAAAATTGAAAATATTGATATCTAATTTTTTTATTTTACCTACTTATTACTTTTAAATAAGATGTTTTTTGTTTTTACAAATTATGATCCAAGATAATTTAGTAATACTGAAATAAAAATGTTTCATATTTTTGAGCGAATTTAATTAACAAGAATTTTTTTTTAGTTTTACAAAGCGCCTGGAGAATAATCCCGAGTAGAAATTTTGACAGGGGCCTGGCCGGGTCCAGACCGGGGTGAAACAGGGAACCCGCCCGGTGCCATGGCGAAAAGCCCGATTTGACGAGCTACCAGGCCGGGGCCCGGTCGGGTTCCCGGTTTAATGCGGGGTCAGGGCCCTGTTAGGGCAATTTCTGCACGGGATTTAAAAACTTGCCAAAAACAACCAATAGTGGTCACCTCCACGTGGTGCTTCTCGGAAAAAAAGATAATAAAATGGTTTTTTATAAGCTCCAAATGCGAAATTCTAAGACTGCAAAACGGGCCCGTCAGCACTGAAAAAATTACATTCTAATTTTAAGAAAAACTTCTTAAATATGCGCCAAGAATATTCCCCACTTAAATTAAGTAGGAAATATTCTTACAATACTAATTTTCTTCTTATTGTAAGAATATTTCCCACATAATCTAAGTGGAGAATATGCTTGGCGCATATTTAAGAAGATTTTCTTAAAATTAGAATGTAATTTTTTCAGTGAATGTCTGCAGAAAACTGGCAAAAACTACTGGGCCTATACTGGCATTCAAAACGTCTCATTGCTGGTAACGGAACTTAGCACGGACCAATAGTGGCACATTATTAGGCTAAACTTTTCTATCTATGATGGCAAGTTGTAATTGAAAGTATTAGATAAAACTGAATTCTGGGATTTTTGGAAAATCCGTGACAAAAAAATAAAAATCACTACTTTCCTTGCCTCGAATCCTCTTTCAATTTTTTTAAATGGCTTCTGATTATTAAGAGAAAAAAATGCTTGCGAGGCGGGGAAACAATAATTTAGTTAAATTTCCAGGAATTTTGGGAAATCCGTGATCCTTTCGTAATTTTTTTAAAAGGCTGTTAATATTAAAATAAGCAATTAGCTAAAGTAAAAATTTTCGTCGAATAAACGTTGGTGTTTTCAGTTTCAGAATATTGGGACGTTGCTCGGCTCAGTAATGGCACATTAATAGCAAAAATTTTGTATCTGCTATGATGGCAAAATATAATTGCCAATATTGGGACGTAGTTAATTAATAAAAAATGTAATAATTTATATTAGTTTTTGTATGTTGCCAATACTGGGTAAGTAATGGCAGTCAATATTGGGCCATTAACGTCTGCCGACGTCCAACCGTAATTAACACCACAAGAGTCGTCCCAATAATATCGGCCAAGACTAGGTGACAACTTTGCCAGTACTGGACCGTTATTAAGCCATGATGGTTTTCACATTTAGGGCGATTTTAAAAATTCTAAACCTTATCTTTTTACTTTCCTTAAAATTTCGTTTTCTTCTTCATTAATTAATATTAATAATCATCAAGAAAATTAGTTTAAATGTAGTTGGTTAAATACCAATCAATACTCAATATGGAAAACTATAAAAATACTAAGAAACACGTCGAAGACGGGTATCGCAGCTATTAATATATAAGTAGGAATAACAATAACTAATAACCCGTCGAAGACGGGTATCGCAGATAGTTGTTAATAAAATAAGTTATTAATTATTAATTTTATTAATAACAAAAACTTGAGTTAAAATTTGTGAGATTATTTGAGATACGCTCCGAAGAAAGGTGAGGAGCAAATCTTAGGAGCAAATCTCTTTAAATTTAAAAATTTAGTTTAGTTCAGAATTTTTCACAATTAAACATGTATTTTAAACATTTTAATAACATTTTATGAAACTGAAGTTACCTACGTTTATCCAATGACAATTTTTTCTTTTGATAATTATTTATTTTAATGTTAGAACCCCTTTAAAAAATTTCAATAGATCGAAGTCGGGGAAATCAGTAATTTTTATTTTTTACACGGATTTTCCAAAAAACCATATATTTCAACAAAATTATTATTTCCTCAGCTCATAAGCAATTTTTTCTTTTACTAATTATTTATTTTAATGTGAGAAGTCATTTAAAAAAATTGTAAGATGATTTATGGCAAGGAAATCAGTGATTTTTAATTATGTTTGTCGTGGATTTTCCAAATATCCCGAAATTTCAACTAAATTATTATTTCCTCGCTTCAGAAGCAATTTTTTTCTATTGCTAATTGTTTATTTCTTAATATGGATGCACTTGCAATTTTTTAAAGGGCTTCTTACATTAAAAAACAATTAGCAAAAGAAAAAATTTTCATTGCATAAAAGTTGGTAACTTCAGTTTCATAAAATTTTTGGGTTTCTAAAATGTATTTATGTAATTTTAAAATTATTTAAAGGAAGATATTGACTAGAAGAAACTAAAATTTAGAAATGCCATATAGATTTCAATTGTAAGCACTAAATTTAAAATCAAAAAGTTGTATAACGTCAACTTGAAAACTTGAAATTTTTACGACTTAAATACAAAAAAATTGAGTTTTTAGTATCAGGCTTTATAAAATTCCCTGACAATTCCAGGTTTTTCAGGTTTTCCATGACTGAAAAAAAAATCCATGACAATTCCAGGTTTCCCAGGTTTTCCAGGTCCGTGGCAACTCTGTCAATTATTTCTAATAATTGTAAACGGAACTCAAAAAAATTCAAATATTTTTCGAATTTTTAACTAAAATTTTTCTTTCAATTACCTAAATATTTTTATTTTTTAAATAATTTTTATGAAAGTTCTTTGAGAATTTAATTATTAAAAATTTTTTGAAATTCAATTATTTATAAAAATTGTAAACGCAGCTCATAAAAAATCCAATTATTTATAAAAATTTTAAACCTAACTCATAGAAAATTCAATTATTTTTGAAATTTTTAACTAAAATTCTTTTTAAAATCAAATCTACTTTAATATTTTTAATCATAAATTGAAAAAGATCTTTCAGAATTAAAATATTCAAACAGAAAAGAAAGTTCGTATAAAATAATACTAAAATCCAAATTCAATTTCCACGGAATTTCAATTGTTCGAAAATATCTTAATTAAATGTTAAAAAAATTGACTTCTCTAATTTCAAATTGTCTAACAGTTTAATTTGAAACTCAATTTTAAAATCTATATTTGGAATTTTTCAGTAAAATTATTCGCTAAATAATTTATAAATAATAATTTTATTCTTATTTTATTCATTTTATTTATGATTTTATTCTAGAATTAAATTATTAAAAATAAATTTAATTTCAAATTCTCTAAAGTTCAATTATTATAGCAGAAATAGAAAAAAATGTAAGGTTTTGTATTAAAATTCGTTGTGATTTCAAAGTTTATAAGAAAAATATCATTTAAATGAACGACGATATTTTTTAACTTATTTTAATTTGTATTTCTTGACCAAAAAATTATTTTGTGTATTAAAAATTAATTCTTAACAAAGTAAATGTTTAATTTGAATTAATTTTCTTTTTTGGATAGTATTTTTTCATATTTAAATCATATTTTTATATTTAAGCCAAAAAATAAAAGTCTCTTTCATTTGAACGTTCAAAACTTTAGGAGAATAATGAGTATTCACTCATTATTTTTCAAAAGTTTGAATGAATTAATTATTTAAAAAAGAATAATGAATAAATGTGTAATTTTTGAGTTTCGGTAAAAATTCATGAGGCTAAAGTCCGCAACGTTTTTTGAAAAAAAAATGAAGAAAGAACATTTTTTTCAAGTTACATTCATCTCTAATTTTCATGTGCATAAATTTTTAAGAAATTATATAAATTTGAAGTCAAAATAAAAAAAATCGTCGCATTATTTTTTCGTTTACGTTTTTTAATACATTGCGAACTTACGTTAATGAAATTTACAACGTTTATAATAAACAAAATAGGAGAAAAAATAATTTTCTATTTAAATTTTTAAAAATTATTCCTTAATCAGCGAGTTAAAAAATAAAACTTTGTAAACGTAAAATATTATTTTCCGAATAAAAATAATTTTCTATTCACTAAAATGTTTTTTCTTCCAATCGTTGATGATAAACGTTGTACATTTCACCTACGTGTCACAGTCTCATAAAAATTTAAAAGTTTTATTGCAACGGAGTCAAAAGTAAGTAAATATTTATTAATTACCATCTACCGGATCTAAGGGACCAAAACGGGGAACTTGACCAATTCCAATTTCCTGCATTCGCAATATTCGAAGTAACCAAGCGGGAAAACCATTTTGCAAAACGTAAATATCATTTTCATTCTCTCTATCGTTGGCGAGTACATGAATGAGTGGTTGAAGATCATCATTATCATTCTCCTCGGCAGCGATCATATTATTACCCTCATCATCACGATTATTATTCGCCAGATCGCCATTTTCCAATTCCAATTCGTGAAATCCAGGTCTCGGTGCTTCTTCAATACTCGGCGATTCAGAATCGGAAATTCTATCGTGCTCAATACTTGGCGATTCGGAATGGGAAATTCTGTCTTGCTCGATACTTGGTAAATCGTATTCCGGAGTCATATCGTGTACCGACGTTGAATTTGGATAACCAGAATCCATTATTTCCGGTGATGAACTATTTGGCGGTGTGTCTAAAATCTCACAAGACACTGGATTCATTTCCGAAACATCCGATAGATCTAAAACTTTCGATGCACGCGAATCATCGAAAACATAATTCTCCGGACATCTTGCAAACATTCTTTCAAATTCAGAATAATCGCGTACAATTTCCATTTCATTTATCACAGTTTCACATTTTCGATTTTTCTCCTTATCGTCGAGATAATTGAAATTTTTCATTTCTTTGGAATCTTTTGAATTTATATTTTTATTCACGTTTTTGGAAGACCCTTGTAAATCACTTGATGAATTATCTAAACATGTTTTGATATGTACATTAGATGAATTTGGTGGATTGTCGGCAGTGTTGCGCGTTTGTAAATTTTTCTTCTTTAAATCTATTGGTGTTGATTTGTACATTTCCTCAGATGTCGTCGATTTTTCTAAAGACGATGTCGATACGTTGCTGGAATTGAAATTTGGAAGCGATATTTGACTACTGCTTTCGGAGAAGTCTCTGCTGATTGATTCCGGTGTTTGTAATCCTAAAAACGAACAGTTTATTAACACTAAAAGTAATTAAAAAACAGTAATCTCAATTTAAAAATTAAATATTTTTGAAACAGGGATCAAAATAGCTTTTTTTCAAATATGTGAAAACGTGAATTATTTTCAAAAAATACTTGACAAGAAGTTGATAAAAAAAATTATAATTAAAAATACAATTAACAATTTAATTAATTAACATTTTTTAAATACACTTCAAAAAATGTCATGGAAACTTTGAATTATTTCTAAAAACTGTAATAAAATTCATCGCAATAATTGAATTATTTTCATAAATAACAAAATTCTTCGCAAAAATTCAATTATTTTTAACATAATTTTAAAAAAGTGTCTCGACAAGATTCAATTATTATTCTCAAAAATTGTAATGCAATTATAATAAAATTCTTTCGAAGAATTCAATTATCTTCATAAACAATAAATTTCTTCGCAGAAATTCAATTATTTTCAAAAATCATAAATTTCTTAGGAGCAAATCAATTATTTTCATACAATTTTAATAAAAATTCTCCACCAGACTCAATTATTATTAAAAATGTTAATAACATTCTGATCAAGAATTCAATTATTTTGATTAAAAAAAATTCTAGGAAAGAATTCAATTATCTATTATAAAAAAATTTAATAAAATTCCTCGCAGGAATTGAATTAATTTCATAAATAACAAAATTCTTCGCGAAAATTCAATTACATATTTGCACACTGTAAAAAAAGAGAGTTAAATTTTAACTCCCCCGGGGGGTCTATAAAAGTCGCACCCAATGGGGAGTTAATGCCAGGGGAGTTAAATAAAGAGAGTTAAAATTTAACACCCAAATGCTAACTCCCCAAGGAAAAAATAACTCGCGCGGGTGTTGAATGAAGGGAGTTAGAAATTAACTCTCTTTTGGAGTTGATTTTTAACTTGAAAAATTTCACTCCCAACTCCCGAGTCCGTTAACTCCCTAAATTTTTTACAGTGCATACAATTTTTTTTGCACATTATAATTAACAATTTAATTATCTTCATTGAAAATAAAATTCTTCACAAAAATTCAATTATTTTCCAAAATTTTGATAAACTTCTTTATAAGAATTTAATTTTCCTCATGAATTATAAAATTGTTCATAGAAATTCAATTATTGTTAATATAATGGTAATTCAATTAATTTTCATAAAAGTTTTAATAAATATCTTCGCGAGAATTCAATTATTATATATATTAGTTGAAAAAATCTTCACAGGATTTAAATTATTTTCAGTAAATTTTTTATAAAATTTCTCAAAAGAATGCAATTATTATCATAAATTTTAATAAAATTCTTCGCAAGAATTCAATTAATTTCATAAATAACAAAATTCTTCGCAGAAATTCAATTATTTTTAAAAATATTAATAACATTTTTGTAAAGAATTCAATTATCTTCATATTTAATGAAACTCTTCAGAGAAATTTAATTACATACTTTCAAAAATTCTAATAAAAATCTTGACAAGAAAACAATTGTCTTCAGAAATAATCAATTTCTTCGCAGACCTTAAATTATTTTTAAAATTTTAATATAATTCTTCCTAGAGAATTAGAGATTCAATTATCACCATAAATTTTAAAATTATTCGCAGTATTCAATTATTTTTATAAATTTAAATAAAATTCTTCGAAAGATTTTAATTATTGTCAAATATTTTATTAACATTTTTGCCAAGAATTCAATTTATCTATAAAAAAACGTTGATGAAGTTCACAACGTTTATAATCCAAGATTTTAATAGAAAAAATATTTATCCTTTCAAAGGATTGGCGAAATAATTATTTGTAACAATATTTCTTCATTTACAATTCAAAAACTAAAAATTTGTAAACAAAAGATATTATTTTCTGCGTAAAAAATATTTTTTCTTTCAATCTTTGAATCTTAAACGTTATGAACTTCATAGACGTTTTAAAAATAATAAAATTCTTTACCGAAATTCAATTTTTAAAAAATTTTTTATAAAATTTTTCGTAAGAATTCAATTATTTAAAAAAATTTTAATATAATTCTTGACAAGAATTCAATTTTCTTCATTAAAAATGAAATTCTTCCGAGAAATTAAATTATTTTCAAAAATTTTAATGAAATTTTTGACAAAAATTCAATTATCTTTGTAAATATCAAAATTTTTGCAGAATTTCATTTATTTTTAATACAATTTTAATAAAGTTTCTCTAAATAATTCAATTATTTTCAAAAATTGTTTTAATATTTTGTATAAGAATTTGATTATTTTAAATGTAATTTTACTTAAATTCCTTGCAAAAGAATTTAATTATTGTCAAAAATTTTAATAAAATTAAAATATAAATTGTTTTAAAGTTTGTAAAATCTAGTTTTATTTGAAAATTAAAAAATGTTACGAATTAGGTAAAAATTAATGAAATAAATAAAATAAGCCAAAATAAGCGCTAGAAAAAGAGAGTATACCTTCCCAAAGATCAGATTCGTTTAGACAATCCTCGGCTTTCTGGGAATTCTTGTCCTTTATGTACTTTCTTCTTAGTTCGTCTTCAATTTCCTGAACGGTTCGAAATTGAATCGATGGATTTTTTGAGAAACTACCGTCAAACTTTGCTTTCTTGGAGGATAAATTCTCATCGGTTAGTGATAAATTGTCCTCTAATTTCGAGCAATTCAGTGATGAAGTAGCGGAAAGTGTGCTCTCAAAGGAGAGATTACTCAAATCTTGGAAACATGTTTTTGAATTATCATTTCGAGATGATTCCAAATAAATACTGCATAAACTTCCCAATTCCTCCAAAGCAACCGAAGGGGAATCTTGAGATTTTATTTGCGACTTACGATATGTTTTTCGCACCTTATCATTAGGAGTGATTCTCTCAGATTTTGTCGATCCACTAACTGATTGACTTTCATAATCTGAATGGTAAAGTTTGTGAGGTATTAGTTCGGTTGAATTGTCAACTACATTTTTAAAACTAAAAGTGAGGGGACTAGAATTTTCGATCGGTTTTCCTTTTTTCTGATTATCAGAAAGAGATTCATTTTTCACTTCACTGGAGGATTCGAGCACTTGGTTTGAACACGTAGGCCTTTCATTAATTTGACTTTGTTCTTCTTCCTCTTTAATGACCATAATAATTGCTGGATCCTGACTCCAATCTTCCCTTGAGATTGCATCTCCGACAAAATTATTTGTCCTATTGGTAGGCGGACCCGGCTCCAAGTCCCATTCGTCTTCAACAACTTCTTGATCGTTCCATGAAAATTCCAAATCGTCCCAATTTTCCCCGGAACTATTGTCGGAGTCAGAGGGTTCAGGTATCAAGACAACGGGTCCATTTTCACGAGCAACGATTTTCCATCCGTTGTGCTCCAAAAGTTCTTTTAGAGATTCCACTGAGACATTGTATTTTTTCAACGGATCCAATAATTTTACCAATGGAACTTCTTCGGAAAATTCCAAACTATACATTCCGTAATTTCTTATATAGTAAACGGTGTCATCTAAAATTTTCTGCTCGTCAGAACGATTATCGACATGAAATGGATATTCTTGAATTGTTATTATTTTAAAAAGGCCTTCAACACCTGAGTAGATTAATTCATTTGGTGTTGTTCGTCGATGAAAGACTGCCATTTGAGAACAGCAGCCGAGATCCTCTGAACCTGCAGGACCCTCACATATTCCACTGAATGACACTTCATAGTCTGGATATCTTGAAACAATATTCTCCGCCCTAAAATTATTTTCAAGCATATTTAAAAAATATTTACAACAAAATTAGAAAATTCGAAAAGTAGGATTAAATTAGAAAATTGTTATATGTACCAATCTTGGAATTGTTCTCTCGTCCACTCGAATTTGTGGTCATAATGTCGAAAACCTGGTTTGTTGAATAAAACATTAAAATCCGCATTCGGAGTGGTCATGACAGCAACTTGTGGTTTAACGTATCCGAAAATATTATCCGGTAAATCTGTCAACGTGTCGGGATATAAATGCTCTATTCTGAAAATAAAATGAGAATATTTTATTACATATATATTAATGGAAAATAGTAATACAGAAAAAAATAATTAATCACAAGTTTTGATCGTTCAAATAAGCGAAAAAATGTTGGTTAGTGATATTTTTAAAAATTACTGATTGCAATAAAAATTAAAAACTTAAATATTACCAGGAATCACGGAATCATTTTCCCTCGAAATAAGTGAGAAAATAAATTATTTTCTAAAAACAGTTTTAAAAAATATTATAATTATTACAAATATCAATACATTTAACTAATCAATTTTTTTATTTCCAAACATTGAAATAAAATTCTTCGAAACAATTAAATTATTTTCACAAATTTAAATAAAATTCTTCCGAATTACAATTTTAATAAATATTCTCTACAAGTTTCAAAGGTATAATAACAAATTTTAATAAAATTTTAATCAAAAATCCAATTATCTTCATAAATAATAAAATTTTTCGAATGAATTCAATTATTATAAAAAAGTTTTAATAAAATTGTTCCCAAGAATCCAATTATTATCATAAATAATAAAATTCTTCTCAGAAATTGAATTATTTTCATAAGGGGTTGAACATCCCAAAAAATTGCGTGACATCATTTGTGAACGCTCCCTAAAGAACAAAATTCTTCGGAGAAATTAAAATATTATTTTTAAACATTTTAATAAAATTCCGCGCAAGTATTCAATTAATTTCAAAAATAACAAAATTCTTTGCAGACATTCAATAATTTTTAAAAATATTTTATTATGCACGAAAATAATTCCTGTGAACTGTCTATTATTTTATGAAAATAATTAAAAATTTTTAAATAATTAGATTCTTTTGGAAAAATTTTATTAAAATAGTAGATATTGAAAAACATTGAAATAAGGAAATTTTTTGAAAATAATTGAAATTTTGCCAAGAATTTTATTAAAATTTTTAAAAATAATAGAATTTCAGAGAAGAATTTTATTATTTATAAGGATAATTGAAATTTTGACGAGAATTTAAAAAAATTTTTGAATATAATTGAATTTCTGCGAAGAATTTTATTACTTTTGAAGATAATTGAATTTCTGCAATCATTTGTAATTTCTCTAAAATTCCCCAAATTATATCGTACAATTTACAAACTTTTCGCCCTTTTTTAATCAAATTACGGACTTTACGAACCTTTTTTAAAAAAACCTGACTTTTACGGACTTTACTGGATTTAGTTTGAGTCCTAAATTATGTATTTTAGAAATAAATTGACTTATTTTACGAAACGAATTTGTCCAATGCCATTATTTCTGCATTTCTTTTGATCTTTCAGAATTTTAAGTGATCAATTTTTTTCTATTTGATTATATGTATGTCTGTAATTCATATTATTTCTCAAAATAGAATTGCAAATTAGAAAGGCAATATTAATTAGTAGTATTAATTTTTTACTAAAAATTTGTAAAACTAATTGTGAGCATGAAAAATATTGTTCAAGAGTATTTCAAGTTATGATGAAAAAAATTTCCTGACTTTCGAAAAAATTCCCTGACATTTCCCGGTTTTCCAGGTCAATGTGGATCATTGAAGAACAAATAAAATTATCAAGTTTGTTTATTTGAACGCTCAGAACTTTAGGATCACTAAAAATAATTACTTACAATTCTATACAGATTACAGCATCCGTTTTTTCGAGAAGTTTATCATTGTGTGTTACACTCCCTTCAATAACACTTATTGTTAAGGGCTTATCACGTGTGTGTAAATAATCAACATGAAGGGGATGTGCTTTCTTCTGACTCCATTCTAAAACTTCTTTATCTACATCCACACACAAAATTTCTTCCACTCCTGGTGTATTTTTCAGATACACCATAAATCCAAGTTCGGAACATCCGAAATCAACGACCTGTTGAAACAAAGAAAATTTATAATCTACGTGAATTTGAAATTGATCCATTGCAAATTAATCACTTTGATAAATTATAATACACGAATGTTAATAATATCAATACTCATCTTGATTGTTTTCTTTTTGCAAAATTTAACGACATACAAATAAATCACGCTTTCTATAACCTCAAAAATTAAATTGCAAAATTTGTGCACTGCACAAATTTCAATGAGATTTTGAAATAATGAAATTGTGATTAAAGTTCCAAATTTTTGCAAATTAAATACGAAATGAAAATATTAAGTTTAATTCAGAAAAATTGGATAAATTCGTTACCTTACGTATTTTTCCTTTATAACGAGCGTCCTCGAGGATCTTTTGTACGGTAACATATCTTTGAATATATGCAGGTGGAAAAAATTTAATACAAGTTTCCATGTCTTTTTCATCATCCGAATTATCCCCCGGTGGTTGGGCTAATATTTCTTGATTTCGATCTCGAAATGAAATATTCATATTTGCATGAGGACATTCTTTGTCAACAATGTCGTGACTTTGTTTACGACTTGTGTATCGATTATAAATTAACTTCCCAAATATGTACAAAACTTGGAATAGTACAATAATCATGACAATAATTGTAAACACAGTTTCACATTTCCGTAAATATAATAATAATTGTCAAAATTTTCCGGCTTCTCTATATCTCGTACTCTCAACTTACCCTTGTTGTTCTTTTACTGTTATTATTATTTTCTTTCTGGCGGTAAATATTTCGCTGGTTCAAAAATTGACCGCTAGATGGCATACAAATTCATTTCTTACTTGACAGCAGACACTTGACTTTTGCTCTGTTTGCTCTGTTTTGCCAGTTCTGCTTTTTATCAAAACAAATGTACTGAAGAATTTGACAATTATTAACATAGTGAATAAATGAAAGAATGTCAGGTCCAGTATTGCCTCCTATTCCCGCTCCACTAAAGGGTATTCAACATTATTTAAAAATTGCCACTGAACATGATCAACGAGATCCTGTTGTTAGTTATTGGTGTAAGTAGAGGTTATGTTTACTTGAAAGTCATAATTATAATACGCATTTTCTTTTTACTTTTTTTTTATATTTTTAATTTTGTGAAAAAAATGCTTAGGTCGTTTGTATGCACTTCAAACTGGATTGAAACTATCGACAAAAACGAGCGATGAAACGAATTTTCTTATGAAATTAATGGATTGGTTGGAGAGGACAAAGAAATCTTTACATGATAACGAAGCGATAACTAATAATGTTGCTGCTCAGGCTCATTTGGAAAATTGGGCTTTAAAATTATTCTTGTACGCTGATAAAAATGATCGTGAATCTAATTTTGGGAAGAGTGTTATTCAAAGTTTCTACACTGCCGGTCTATTGTATGACGTCATTACGACATTTGGAGATTTATCCGAGGAGGCTGTACAAAATAGAAAATATGCAAAGTGGAAGGCTGCTTATATTCATAATTGTTTGAAAAACGGAGAAACACCTGTCGCGGGCCCTTTAAAGGAGAATGACGAGGATGATGACACTGGCTCTCAGTCTGGTAGAAATTTAAATTTTTCTTGATAAATACATTTAACATTTTATGTTTTTTTAATTTGAAAAAAAATCAAGTTTCATTTGATTTTCATTTACACTTCATCTCATTTTGCACTTGTTTTAGTTTTTGCATGACTTTTAATGGTTTATTTATTACCATTAAATACTATAATAAACCATTAAAAGTATTGCTGAATTTATAAATATACTTTTATTTATACGATTTACATTTTTATAAACACGGAAAATACGAGTATAGTAGAAAATATAATGATAATTCTTACTTTTTGTCTCAATTATCTACACAGTTGACAATTTGATCTCTATCGACGATAATGAAACAGGTGATTGTCAAAAATTTTATTTTTTATCAGTTTTAATAAGGGAAATCAGGGCTGCCACAGGTCAGGGAATTCAGGGAAAGTGGAATTGCTTAGAGAAATCAGGGATTTTTATCAAAAGTACTAGAAAAATTAAATTTTTTAGAATTCATAAGAAAATTATGAATTTTGTGTCTTTATGCTTGCCATATAAACTATGAAATTACCACGGATTCTAACCCTAGAAGGAGTACGTGAATTTATTCACCCTCTAAAGGTACTGCCACAGCTCGCTGCTGCCTGCGAAGGCAGCTGAGATACAATGAGAGTAAGGGAGAAAAGACATGAATTTGAATTTTTTTTCTCCCTTACTCTTATTGTATCTCAGCTGCCTGCGCAGGCAGCAGCGAGCTGTGGCAGTACCTTTAGGAGTCACTGGGGTGTCCAGACACCCCAAACTTTAAACTTTAAACTTGTTTTAAAAGGTTTCTATTTGACGTAAAGTCAATTATGGGTATAGTGAATTTTATTGGTTTTTTTAGTAAGGAAAGCAATGATATTATTCATATTTTAATCAATTAAAAGAATTTTGAAAAAAAATTGTAAAATAAAAAAAAAACACCAAAAAATTGCAAAATTGACTTTTTTTTACAAAAAAACGTTGTAGTTTTTTAAAAATTTGACTAATTTAAAAAATGTTTTGGATTTTTAAAGTTCAATAGATACACTTTTAGAGAAAAAAAATAGTTTTTGTATTACCTAAAAAAAACATAATTATTTGAACAACTGAAGTGAATGAAATTAAAGACAATTGCCGAATAGTGAAATTCATAAAAATGAACTATAAAATGGACTTTAACAATTAATATTTATTAAAAATAATGTTATAAATTAAAAATTTTACAAACTTAATATATCTGAATATGTTAACAATAAAATGTATAACTTATGAAGTGATTCTGTAAATTAATATTTAATCAAAGTTTTAATTAACAATTTTACATACATCTAATATATGTTAAAATATATTAGTTAAGTATACAGGTGTCAACCTGTACCGTACCTTGAATAATGCGTAAGGTGTCCAAACACCCCAGTTACTCCTTCCAGGACTAATAAAGAACCATTCCATTTTGTCTATTTCTGACAATAATTTCTTTTAAAATAACTCAATTCATGAAGAACTATCATAAAATTATAACTTATAAATTATTTAATGAATAATTTTACTTAAATATTTTTAAATTAATTAAATTTTAAAAGAGCTGCGTTTATATAATTTTCATAAATAGATAAACTTCAAAAGGTTTTAATTTTTAATTTCAAAAAATTTCAATTTTGAATAAATTTAATTAGAAATTCTAAAAAACTATGATTTTTGAAAACTTTTAATAATTCAAATTCTTCTGAAATTAGTTAGATTTTTTAATTCATATTTAATTAATTGTTAAAAATAATGGATTTATAGAGAATTTTAATCAAATAAACTAAAAAAATTGAATTTTGAAGAAGTTAGAAGTGTTTGCAAAAATTCAATTATTTTCAAAAGTAATAAAATTCTTCGTAAAAATTCAATTACGTTCAAAAATTTTGTTTAATTCTCGTCAAAATTTCAATTATGTTTATAAATAATAATATTTTTCTCTGAAATTCAATTATTTTCATAAATCACAAATTTCTTCGGAGGAAATCAAGATACAATTATTTTTAAAAATTATAATGAAATTGTACAAAAGAATTAAAAATTAAATTGTTTAATTCAATTTTTTTTTAATTTTTTATTTATTTATTTTTTTTATTTATTCAACAAGTATACGGGACAAGCCCTTTCGTACATATAGTACTCTTACAATCTAAAAGTTGCAATCGCAACTTATATTATACAATATTAACTGTGTAATCAACGCTAGGTAGTTTTAACTCAAAAGTCTAAAATAAACCTACGCAATGAAGAGGTGAATCTTAAGAAGTTACTATCAAAAAAGTCAACAATATTTGACATCGAATTAGCCTCTCTACTTAATCTTGTTACAAAAGAGTGATATCCGTAGTTTGTTCGATGAAAGGACTCCAAAAACAGTGTATAATTTCTAGTTGCCCTTATAGGGACAGACATATTAAATAATGATAATAAATTTGAACAATTATTTATACCATTTATAATCTTATAAAAAAAAGTCAAGTCATTAAAAAGAAATCTGGATGCAATTAGTGGAGTATTAAATGATAATCTCAATGTACTGTAGTCATGGGAGTATCTGTCAAATTGAACATTAAATTGTCTCGTTACAAAACGAAGAAATCTATTTTAAATTCTTTCAATTCTAATTATGTTAAAATCATAAAATGGCACCCATATTACAGAAGCATACTCCAGCAGCGATCTTACCAAAGAGAAGTAAAGAATTCTTAGTGTATTAATATTATGAAACATTGATGCATTTCTAATTATGAAACCAATTTTGATAAAATTCTTTAGGGTCAGTTGGGGTAAATAGAAACAGATTTGCTTTGTTTCACAAATTACATAAGTTTTTTCTTTTAAATCCGAATACTTTCGGTTTTTTTGTGTATTGAGTTATTATTTCACTTTCGTGGAACAGTTTTATGGAGTAGTAGAAAATATGGGAATCATTAAGTCGTAATAATCAACTGTTTCTATTTACCCCTAAATTTTTCAACTTTGCTAAAATTTAGGGGTAAATAGAATAGAAAATTGAAGAAAAAATCAATTTCAAGTATGGAAATGTTAAAAGATACAAAGAATTACATAAAAAATGTTTAACCCTTTAACGACCAGCGGTTTCAATCAAAACCACTTTTGACTTCAAACCTTCATAACTTTGGCAAAAATAAAAATATTTTTGATTTCCAAACACCCAACACCCACAAATTTATTCCACTTTGTGAAAAAAATTTATAGTACAATAAAGAATTAACAATTTTTTAATTCTAACAATAATAAAAAAAGAATGTTTATGGCAAGATTTAAAACAAAATTACAAAATCGAAAATTAAATAAGGCTAAGCTAATGAAAATGACTACTTGAGGGTTTTTGAGGTGGCTCATTACAAATCCGATGTCAGTTTTTCAAAATAAAAATGTCGGTCAAAAAAATGAAGAAAATTGCACTTTTCTAAAAAAAAGTCGGGTTTTAAAGCCAAAAGATGAAACACATTACACAAATAAAGGTTTGTTCTCTCTTTTCCTCTTCTATTCTCTCTCATTCTCATATATAATGCTGAAAATAGTGTTGAAGTTTGATAGAAACAATTTTCTCTCTTTCTATTATAAGAAATATTGTTGAAATTATTCTGTTTCTATTTACCCCGAATTTCCAGTTGTTAGGGGTAAATAGAAACAGTCTCCTATTTGTAATTAAAGTTTGCAAAATGAAAAAAACAAAGTTGATTTTTGTTGTAGTATTAATAATGAGATAATTATAAATTTTAATATGAATTTTTAGTTATTTTTTTTCCAAATGCGAGTCAAAAAAGTGAAAGGGTGTCTTCTTTGATTTTTAATTATTTATGCAATAGGAAATATTTTTGTATATACTGCTTCTAATTGACAAACGAAAAATGGGAAAATACTTAGAACCTGTTGGGGGTGATCTAAGGTTCGAGGTTTAAGGCCGTAATTATTTTTAAAATTTTTTATTTAACTAAAATAACTACTGTTTCAATTTACCCCTAGCTTCTATTTACCCCAACTGACCCTATAAGAATTCGATTATTTTTAATACAATTTGAATTAAATCTCTTGAAGAAATTTAATTATTTTCAAGCATTTTAATAGAAAAAAAATTATTAATAAAACTCTATGCAAACATTTAATTATTTTCACAAGTAATAAAAATTCCACAAGATTTCTATTATTTACCATTTTTTTAATAATTTTCTTTGCAATAATTCAATTATTTTCATAAATTATAAATTTTTTTTACAGAGATTTAATTATTTTCATAAATAATAAAACTCATTGCAGAATTTCAATTATTTTTAATACAATTTTAATTAAATTCCTCGAAAAATTTAATTATTTTAAAAATGTTGAGTAAATTCCTTATGAGAATTCAACTTTAAGAAAAATTCAATTATTCAATAAATTATTTATTATTGTATTTAAGTAATGGAATTTTCGTAGAATTTTCTAATAAAAGTAGATTTTAAAAATAAAGTTCAATTAAAATTTTTGATAATAATTGAATATGTAATTGATTTAAAGAAGAAATAAAATTAAATTTTTGTGGCAACCCTGTTAATAACCGTTTAATTGGTAAATAACCGAAAATATATTAATTAATAATAATTATTTGAAATTTTTACATAGAAAATCAAAACATTGAACCTGATCAAAATTCTGAAGAAAATAATGAAAACCAAGGTAACATTCTCAAAAGTTTCCAGTTATTTTTAGTTTCTACTAAAAATAATCTACTTTTAATTAATTTTAATTAATATAATTAATAACAAGTATCAATACTGATAAAATTAAATTAATTATCTTAAAATTCATTTGCTATTACAATAAGAAAATTAATTTTAATTTATAGAGGAAGAAAATACTGGAGATAAAGAACCCGATGAAGGTAAAAGAAACTGATTAAAATGTAATAATTGTTTTAGAACATGGTCTCAAATTTTATTGAACGTTATGAACTAGTTTCCAAAAGTGTAAAGTAGTAAAAATAATTTACAAATTACTGTAAAATTTAATATTAGTTTATTTAAAAATATTTATGCAGCTGAAGAAAATCAAAAAGATGAGTCTGAGGAAGGTAACTAAATGTAATTAAAATATTTATAAACATAATATTTAAAATTCATGAAAAATTAATTTTTTTACAGTTGCTGATGAACCAAATGAGGAAGGTAGTTTATTTTCGATAATAACTTAATGAATTATATTATTTATTATCATGATAATTAATTTATTATCATAATAATTATGATTCATAAACGCTTTTTTCATAAATAGTGCTTTTTTGCATTTGTTACTATTTACTAATTATTATTTAATTATCTTTCTGAATCAATATAATGTTTACCGATTTGGAAACATAATTTTCTGCAAAATGAGATGACAGTTTTAAACGAATAGTTTTTTTACATGATGCTTAAAAATTTAGAGCGCAGTTTTATTATACAGTATAATTTTTATAAAGATTTTTCTACATCTTTCCATGTATAAAATAAATTAATTTTTAAAATTAAAATTTAAAAATTAATTTTAAAACACTATTTTTGTTTCAGATCAAGGAATATCGAGTCCGTCGCCAAGTACAGATGCATTTGGATTTCCTTCAGTTCCAAGTAGTTCTAGTCCGAATATTCCACCACCGAAGCCATTGAATATTCCATCTGAAAATGAAAATTTCATTCCAATTGAACCGAATCCCTACAATCCAGCTCCTACGCCGACGAATCCAAATAATGGACAACAAAATTTTAACAACTTAAAAACTGCGGGTGAGTTTTGCAAAGTTAATATAATTTTTAAACTACAAATATTTTGGACAAATTTTGTAGATAAATTGTTTTCTAAAATTTAAATTTATAGAAATATTCTTTTGAAGATCCCTATATTAATCAGAGTATTCAATTTTGAATTTAATGTATAAAATTAAAATTTTACAAGTGTACAATTTTTTTTAAATTTCTCACTAAATGGTTTTTGTGAAATAAAACAAGAATAAATTATTATATAAATATCTTGGATAAAAAAGAAGTGCAGGCCTCGGATTATATGAATTTTTGAAATTTTTCCGACTGTTTTGGAGGCGAAAAAAAATTTTTAAATAATACAAAAGTTTTAATAAAATGCTTCTCAAAAATGTAATTTTTAAAACATTTTAATGAATTCTTGGGAAAAATTCAATCATTTGCAGTAATTTAATTATTTTACATTTTAATAAAATTCTTCGCAAAATTTCAATTATTTTCATAAATCACAAATTTCTGAGGAGAAATTTAATTATTTTCTTAAAATTTTAATTGAATTAAATTAATTAATTAATTAATTTTAATTTAATTAAATCTCCACAAGATTAAATTACTTAAAAAATTTATTAACATTAACAATTCTTTTGAAGAATTTTATTATATGAAGATTATTGAATTCAAAAAATAATTATATTTGAACTCTTTAAAGAATCTAATTTTTTTAGAATTATTGTTTTTATTTTGAAAAAATTTTGAAAAAATCAAATGAGTGACTTTTTCGTCTTTTTTTATACGTTTTTAATCGACGAAGTTGACATTTTTTTCACTCCTTAAAGTCAATCTGAGGTCTGGAAATGTTTAAAGAATTAGATTTTGGATAATTTTATTATATTTCATTCAAAGTCGTTGCAGATTGTTAAATTTTTGCAATTATTGTGAATGAAAATATAACGAATTGATCAATTTATAAATAAAATAAAATAAACTATTGCAACAAACAGGAGGAGTTGCTCTGAGTGTGGAACAAACGACGAAGGCTCAAAAACTAATAAAATGGGCTGGGAGTGCCTTGAATTATGACGATGTACCTACTACTGTTTTAAATCTACAAAAGGCTCTTCACCTCCTGACCACCGGCCAAGAGATGCCTTAAAAATTAATAATCAACAGAAAAAAAACACACACACACAGTAATGCTTTGTTCACTGCTTTCAAGGCAGCAAATATTCTGTTGCCGATTTGAAGTTCAACAAAATAACAAGATTCAAAAGCTTCTAGCTTAATTAGAAAAGAAAAAGAATTTGAAATAAAAACAAAAAATAATTAAATTTTGAAGTTTAACAAAATAATAATAATAAGATTCAAAAGCTTATTTTAATTAGAAAAGAAAGTAAATTTGAAATAATACCACAAAAAATATTTAAAAACTCCAATTTTAATGAAACGCGTGTATGTGATTCGTCGCAAGAGATTGAATATTTTTTTATTGCACGATGTTTTGTTTTTTTTTAGTTAAGGGAATGATATAAAATGTACATGAGATTGCGCAAAACTCGTTTGTAAATAATGTCGCATACTTATTTTTTAGAAACTTGCCTTAAATGTTTAGTGTGAAATTATTTAAAATCCGCAATAAATATGCTATTTTATTTACGTAACCAGAACGATATTTTTATTCACGAAAATATCATTTATTTAATTAATTTCATTATTAATTATAATAAAAATTTATTATTTTATTATCATCATTATTATTTGTTTCCTTGTTGCTTTAGAACAAGTCTTTTAAATTGAACCTTTCTTAAAAGAAAAGAAAAGAAAATTAATAAGAGAAAAAAATTATCACGTTATGCTTTTTATTGAAAGGACATTGAATACAGTTCATAAATTTTTCTTCTTCTAATTTTTGTTTCTCAGTTACATAAACAAACAAACAACATTCGTACCCTTTAGCTATATATTTGTATATAATTATAATATGTATACAATTATCTACTCAGTCTAAAGCGTGAAGTTTGATTTTCATTCCCAGGCAAAGTAAAGTATTTGAATAAAATGAAACAAAAACAAAGAAAAAACTTTGGAAATTTACTTTCAAATTTTTCCTTTTTTATGTTTATTTTACTTTTTATTTAATCTACTCTATTTTTGTTTAGTTACTTTCATTGTTAAATTATCAGTTGACATTTATTTTTATACTTTAATTTTAGTTTATGAATTTCAATACAAATTTCATTACCAATTGGAATACGAAATTAAACGCTAATTTCATTACCAAATTAAATACTAATTTAACTATAAATTTGAATACCAAATTAAAAACAAATTTAAATACCAACTTAATTATCAAATCAAATATCAATAAATTTAATTATCAATTTAATTGTCGAATTAAATATCAATTTAATTATCAATTTAAATACCGATTTAAATACCAATTTAAATACCAATTAAATTACCAAATAAATAATTATTCAATTAAATAAAGGAATGTTAAAAAAATGTAACAATAAAAAGAATTATTTGACGATTAATAATAAAAATGCCTGTATATTTTAACTGTTTCACAAAATGAAAGGTTTTTTTAAATTTATAATCAAGAGCAAATCTCATTTATTTCATTTAATTACTTTTTTCTCAGCTCTCGCTTCCTAATAAATAATAATAATAATAATAATAATAATAATAATAATAACAATATTATATACACGTGCAATCATTCGTTTCTAGTCCAAATTGAAATTGTGAACATTCCTAATATGCCAGTTACGTAGCACATTAATTTTAATTTATTTATAATTAATTAATAGCTTAAGAAATTAATTTTTACTAATTCGAAACATACACGAAAGATTTAACAATTATGTTCTCTAGCAGTGCACTCGTGTAAAACTACAATTTTTTTTATAGATTATAATATAATGTGTAATGTTAATGATAATAGTAATTAAATAATTAAAACTAATTCGTAATTAATTAGCTATTAGTAATTAATCAATTCACTATTTGCCATTAATAAATTTACTAATTAGTAATTAATTAGCTATAAATTTAATAATTAATTAACTAATTAGTAATTAATTAATTATTTAGTTAATAATCAAATAGCTAATTAATAATTAATCAATTAACTATTTGCAATTAAACAACTTACTAATTAGTGATTAATTAATTAATTAGTAATTAATTAACTATTTAGTTATTAATCAATTAATTAATTACTATTCGAAGTAGTATCGAGAAGAACACAATTGAACATTAATCAATTAACTATTTGCAATTAAACAACTTACTAATTAGTGATTAATTAATTAATTAGTAATTAATTAACTATTTAGTTATTAATCAATTAATTAATTACTATTCGAAGTAGTATCGAGAAGAACACATTGATTCTAAGTGGCAGTTAGTTTGTGCTCAAGCTGGCATTAATTACCGCAATAAAAATAAATTATTTTTACAGCAAATATATAATTAGACTGATTTTAATAATTTTTTGTATATTTTAGGCAACTGTCAATTATTTCTCTGTTTTTTTTTTTTTAAAAGCATATTTCAATTTACAATCGAAGGCGCACGAAAAAGGAAATTTCTGCTAAAAAACCAGCGATGAGCGAATCTACTTGGTCGCAATGAAATTACATATTTCATATCTACTTAATTAGAATTTCTATTTTTTATTTTATTACTAATTTAAATTTGACACCAATATGTCATATATGGAATTTAATTAATTACATTTGTAATTCGAAATATTTTATATTTTGCTTTTTATTTTTTCCATTCTCATCATTGTATATGTTCAAAATTTAAGAGAAAGAAAATTTGAAAATAATTTGAAATAGTTTTAAAAATAATTTCAAAATGTTTTGAAAATGATTTCAAAAATAAAATACTAGATTGAGTTAAAAATGTAATTAATATACAAATTTATTATTAATAAACAGCTATGAATAAGAATTATAAAAAGGATTCTCAGCTGTTGTTCATGGTCAAAATGACAATATTTACTATTCGCTATATCTTAATTTTATCATTTATTCCTAAATGTTTCATAGCTAAAAATTTTGCTCGATGGGCAAAATTGTATTTTTTTTTCATTTCTTAAATATTTTTTTTTAGTTCTTCTAATTCCTTTATAATAATTATAAAAGCCTCGCATTCTCGAGAGTCAGTCATCATAAGAAAAATTCTGCTATTAGGTTCCACTTGGTGGTAGTTCCCATCAATACAGCAGAATGAAGCTCTTTAATGCTCATTTTAAAAAGAGCTTTTTTTGTTAACGATTTTTCAATGGAGAGTTGCAATGTGCTTTTTTTGTATAAGAAAAGATGAAAAGTGTGGAAAGAAAAGAATAATTATTCGTGTGTTACAGTGATGTGATGTGTGTGAGAACGTATAGGAAACCAAGTGGGACTTTCTTTTTTTTGACTCCTGTGACATATGTTTAATGGAATATAAATCAATATGTAAATTCATTTAAGCTTCTTCTTTTTTATTCAGTCTTGTTTTTTAGTTTTATCATCTACTCCATTCGCCGTTACTGGTTGAGATTCCTCTCGTCTTAGTTGCCAATCTATCACCAGTCGTCCACTCAACATGAAAAAGAATACCTGTTGAAAATAGATTTATTTAAATAATATTCACTTATATTTAAATGTTTAATATTTTTAATTTAATTTTAATAACGACGAGAATTGAATTATTTAAATAGAATAATTTTTGAAAATTCATAAAATGTTTTTTCAAAAATACAATTTTATTTATAGGTAATTTTTAAAGATGAAAAAATAAAATTCTTTAAAATATAAAATTAAAAAATAAATATTTAAATACTTATTTTCTTTATTTGCTAAAATTTCGAAATACTTTCAATCAAAAACCATTGGAAAAACTTTTTTTATGAAAACTTAAACTTTAAGGATTGTCACCGGCAATATAAGGAAATAAGAGAAACTTATAAAAATTTGACAGTTTGTTCTTTATATTATTTTAGAAACATATGAAAAGGTCTCAACTCAGTTTTTTTTTAAATTTTACAGGTCGAAAATAGTAACAAAATGGAATTTACTTGATAAATTTTACATCCGTCATTCATTTATTTTGTTGTAATAAATTTTACGAGGCCTTATACGGTTTAAACAATTTTATTTATTTTGACGACGTTTCGATACATTAAGTATCCTCTTCAGGTCAAAAACCTGAAGACCTGAAGAGGATACTTAATGTATCGAAACGTCGTCAAAATAAATAAAATTGTTTAAACCGTATAAGGCCTCGTAAAATTTATTACAACAAAATGGAATTTAATCAAGTCAACAAGTATATAATTGTGTTCAGCGATCGTATTCTCATAATTTTGTGGTATTTAAAACGTTATAGAATGGCTTTTGTAGTCTTAATAAAATAAATAGTGAAAAGTTGCATTTTTGACATTTCAGAAATAGCGGTCCTAAGTTGGCCACCACATTTTTTCGCTTGAACATAAGGAAAAAATGCATATTTTCTATTGTTTTTTGTCTTTGTTTAATTCCTACGTTACACTTTCACGGTCTTTCTCGTGATGAAAAATACTAAAAAGAAACAAAACATAAATAAAAACAAACAAAAATAATAGGTGGCCAACTTAGGACTTCTGTAGATTTTTACAAGTTTCAAATTATTACGCTAATAAAAAAAATTTAATTAAAAAATCAGCAGAGCCTCTTATTACAACATTAAATAAAAGGAACTAAAGCTCACACTGATTTATAAATTTTTAATTATTTATCTCTTGTAGCTGATCTCGAAAAAATAAAAATTAAATTTTTGTTGTAAACAATATTATTGTCCTCACAATGCCTAGAAGAATCTTAGATTATAATTAGGTCCATAAATTATATCATGGTCTATCGATATATCACACCACAAAATTATAAATTCGTCCAGTATACCATCTCTGCCTGAGGAACGCAGAGTGTCCAACTTAGGCCCACGGCCAACTTAGGACCACTCTCCCCTACTTAATTAAAATTTTAAAAATAATTGAATTTTATTGAGACATTTTTTTAAAATTGAAATTTTTGAAAATAATTGAATTCTTGCGAAGAATTTTATTAAGACTTTTGAAAATAATTGAATCTCTGCAAAGATTTTTATTATTTTACGAAAATATTTAAATTCTTGCAAAAAATTTTATTAAAATTTCTGAAAGTAATTGAAGATCTGCTAAGAATTTTGTTATTTTTAATTTATGCCAAGAATTTTATTAAAATTTTTAGAAATAATTGAATTCCTGTTAATTTTTTACAAGAATTTAATTATTTTTGAAAATTTTAATAAAATTCTTCGCAAGAATTCAATTATTTTCATAAATAATAAAATTCAATGCAGAATTTCAATTATTTTATTTATTTTTAATACAATTTTAATCGAATTTTTCGAAAAATGTAATTATTCTTCAAAATTTTATTAAAATTCGTCGAAAGAATTTAATTATTTGAAAATTTTGTTGATAACGATTTTTTATGGGAATTGAATTTTAAGAAACGTTCAATTATTCAATAAATTATTTATTTGCATTTTATTTGTATTTAAATAATTGAATTCTAGTAGAATATTCTAATAAAAATTGATTTTTATTTTATAAAAATGAATTTCAGTTAAAATTTTAGATAATAATTGAATATTAAAAGCAATATAGCGTGAATTTTTAAAAATAATTGAATTTTGTAATTAATTTTTTTTGAAAAAGTTTAATTGAGTTTTTTGAATATTATTTTTAGTTTCTATTTTCTAATATGTATTTAATTAAAAAATGTACGAATAATTGAAATTTTGTAAAATTGAATATTGTAAAGAAATTAATTTGAAAATTGTCAAAGAACTTTTTCGAAAATCATTAAAAATAATCGATATATAGAAGAATTTTGGATAAAAATTCTTAAAAATAATAATTGAATTGATAATGATTTTAATTATTATAAATTATTTTTATTAATAATTATTATTAAAAATGGTCCGTAATTTTTAATTTTTGGTCCGTAAAGTCTGTATTTTTAAATACTTTCACTGCTTCGAGCCCTGTAATCTTTTTAAAAAGAAACAATTGGAAATATTTAAGAAAAAGAAAAATTGGAAAAATTTTTTAAAAAGGAAGAATTGAGAATAATTCTGAAGAAAAGAAAAAATTGAAAATATTTAAAATTCGTACCAGCGCTGGAGCAATCCTTTCAAATTTATCGTTTACCATATAATGCGAATAAACAGCCATTAACATTAAAAACAGGAGAATTCCATTGGAGGCATTTTTCACCTTATCTGAAATTAAATTAACAAATATTACAAATTGAATAGATTTTTGGCAATGAGAATTTTTTTGAAAATAATTTAGAGAAAATAAATTATTATAAACATACGACTGGGCACAAGGGCCATAGCGAGTCCGCAAATAATTTCCAAAGTTCCAACAACTCGTCTGTACCATTTGCTGGGAACTTTAAAATCCAAAGTACTTGCCAGTGGAAAAACCTTGGCATATTTAACGTATTCTTTTCTCTGAAAGTAGAAAAAAATAAAGAAGAGGATAATTAATGAAAAAGGCGAAAAAATTTAAATTAAAAAAATATTGGAAATAACAAGAAAGTCTCTCTCAACATTGGCGATTCCCCAACTATCTCAATTGCTGTTGTGTTCGACTTGTGGCAATGGGGACACCAAAATAGCTGTTTCGCCGGAGAAACTTGATAATTTGTCAGGCATTCATTTTATGTGCATTTTACGAGAAAAAAGAGAAGAGATATTTTTCTCAAATATCTTGTTTCTTGTCAATTGTTTCAATTGTTTCTTGTCATGTTTTCTTACTTTGACAGTTTCTGAATTTATTATTTAGAGCAATTCAGACTAGACTGAGTTTGGAATTTTTTTATTTAAATTCGAAATCAGTTTATTTTCTTTTCTTTATTAAGAAAATAAGGAGACTTGGCGCTTATTTTTAGCAAAAAAGAAAAAATGTAGATTTTCTTTTGTTTGATTAAGGGGTATTTATATCTTTGAGTTTCAAGATCTTCAAAGAATTCTTTGCACATTTTTGTATTTTTTATTCTTTGTTCACCCAGGGAAAAATTTTATTTCAACCAAAAATATTATTTATTTTGACTTAAATAAAAGTACATTTGTCTCAGAGACTTTTATTTATTTGTTTTGAATAGAAATTTTAGTCGGCAAAGTTATAATTTTTATTTGAGCCAAATGAAATTTATTTGAACCAACCAAAAAAATGTATTTGAACCAAATAAAATTGACTAAGAACCAAGTAAAATTTATTTAAATCGAATAGAATTGATTTGAATCAAATAAAATTTAATTTAGACCGAATAAAATTTATTTGGGCCAAACAAAAAGTATTTGAACCAAATAAAATTTATTCGAGACAAATAAAAAGTTCAATTGGCTTTGAGTCAAATATATTTTTTTCCGTGGGCAATGTTTGCTTATATTATTATTTCTATTTGATAAAAGTAAAAAAAAATGGTAATACTAAATTAAAATGAACCCAAAAAAACTTTATTTTTCAAATAGCAGACAAATAGCAGGTGTAACAATAGAGCATCGTAAAATAAAAAATTCACTAATGTCGGTCAAGTTGAACTGGCACAAAAGTTTATCATTTTCTTGGAAAGCATTCATTACAGTTCAAGGTACTTGATTTTAATGTGCGCTTCTTAAATGTGTACATATATATGCACAGAAAATTAAATAGAAATGAAAACCTTTTGTAACTTTATAATATTTGTCATATTATATACAAATATGACAAAATAATATACTTTCAAGTCCATTATAATTCATGCATGAAGTTGTAACTTTCTTTTCAAAGAGAGGCATATAAGAATTATTGATTTAATAATGTTTATAATTTATAATATATAAGACTCTAGGAGCAGGTTTATAACCCAAAGAATTAATCGACAGAAATTGATCTCTATGACACTGAGAAAGAAAAGAAATTAACTGAATAGAAGCCAAGAAATATGGAAAGTGATATTTAATTTTTTTTCATTCAAATTTTAATCGAATGTTATGAAAAATTGGGTCGGCAATTTATTGAAAATTTATTATCTTATTTGAAATCTGTTATTATTTTTTTAAATTATTATTTATTATTTTATTCGAAAGATATTATTTATTTAAATTTTCCAATTTCACTTGAAATTTAAAATCTATGTTTTATTATTTTATTTGAAAAATATTTTTTATTTGAAATTTATTATTTTACTTGAAATTTAAAATCTATTTTTATTATATTTTATTTGAAAATTATTATTTATTATTTCATTCGAAAAATATTTATTTGAAATTTATTACAAAATCTATTTTTATTATTTTATTTGAAAATTCTTATTTATTACTTTATTCAAAAAATATTTATTAGGATTTTATAATTTTACTTGAAATTTAAAATCTATTTTTTATTATTTAGTTTTGAAAATTATTGTTTTATTATTTTATTTAAAATGTAATATTTTATTGCGTTTCTAAAGTTTCTAATATTCAAATCTTTAAATAAATGACGATATTTATTTATTTTAATTTGTATTTTTTTATTTCAAAAAATTATGTTGTGTATTAAAAAATTAGTGCTTAACTAAGTAAAAGTTTAACTTTAATTATTATTCTTTATATAAATTTCAAAAAATATTTAGGCAAACAAATTTCTGTTTTTGAACATTTAAAAACTTTAAGAAAATATTGTATTTAAAAATTATTGTTTATTATTTTATTAGAAATTAATTATTTATTATTTTGTTTGAAAACTATTATTTATTATTGTAATAGAAATTTATTATTTATTATTTTGTTTGTAATTTATTATTTAATATGAAATTTATTAGTTATTTCGTTTAAAATTTATTGAAAATAAATATCTTCTAAATTCAAAATGCAAACTTAACATATTTTCGATTAAAATTTTAATGAATTATCCTTAAACAAAACAGGGACTTTTTACTTTATAAAGATAAAGTCAGAAAATTACATTAAAAAAGGGGACCTTTTTTATTGAAAGTAAACAGCGAGTATAAAAATTCATCTATCATTAAATTTAAGTCAGTATTTCGTAAAAATGAAGATAAGAAAAAAGAAGTTACTAAATTTTCATGTTAAAAAAAATAAAAAAGTCCAATTCAGGAATAAATAAATAGAAAACATAGTTTTACTCCAAATACTAAAGATAAAAAACTCGAAGATTAGGGAATAGAATAAATTAGGAGAACAAAAGGAAAAAAATGCATATAAAAAATGAATTTACTGGCAAATTTTATTCCTTCGTTTGTTCTAAAAATGTTGAAAGACTACTTTGTCTCTTTTCTGTCAGTTCATCCCACGCGCTTTCTTTACGTAATAATAGATTTGAAAATTAAACACGAAGAAAAAGAGGAAACATTAACATTTTGTATAAGCGAATATTATATAAGGAAAATTAATGAAAACTTTTTTTTTCTACTCACCAGGTCCTTGTGAAGATCTTTACTGATATGCGAGGTTAGTTTCATCGTTCCCACAAAGACAAAAAATATGCCCAGAAGGACTGATAATGATTTGAGGACAATTGAACCCATATTCTCTCTCGCTCTCTGTCTCTTCTTTTGTCTCAAAACTGTTTATTGAAATGAATTCGTCACTTGAAAAGTTTGACCAGGAGAAATCAATTTGGATCGAAAGCCTACTAGCACTTCTGTTGCCTCGTCTTCGTCGTCGTCGTCACACTTTTACTAGATGCGTTAAGAATATTATTAGATTAGTAAAAAGCCTATACTATTCGAAGAAAATCAATAAATTCCACTTAATCGTTTTACTTCGATTAGATGTATTTATAAATTTTGAAATGATTTTATTTTATTGTAAATTCACGTTGAATTTCAGTGAATAATTAAACTGACAATTCTAGTCACTTTGGTGTGTTATTGATAACGTCCATGTTTCGACGACGTTGTTATCATCGTCGACGTCGTCGTCGTTGTTTTGTCGTCAGCTGTATCGCGACAGCGCAAAACCGCGGGGACGCTCGGCGTCTCCTGACGTCAGAAATGTATAAAGCGTCGGCGCTTGCTGCTGCTGCTGCTGTTATATACATATATTGTTGTTTGCACCCTCACTAAAATCTAAAATCACCCCTTATAGAAAATTTCTCCCCTTCTTTTGTTGGGGAAATTGTATTAATCGTTAGAGTAGGTCTAATGCGGGCAGAAATATTTTCGATCTACGGAAAAAATATAGGCGAAACCATGGAAATTCACTCTAAAATAAAAATTCACGTTTCTTTTGAAATTCTTACAAATTATTATTCAAAGTTTTAGCAAAAAAAAATTTTTGATGTTCAATCGTTGATTTGAATTTAAATTTTTAAAAGAAAATATTACTCTCCTACAGTAAAAAATATAAATAGAACTGAAAAAATTTTATTACTTTGATACAAAAACCAAGAAAATTTTCTTGATTGTGAAAAATTAATAAATAGGAAAAAAAAACAATTAGCCTCGGATAGTATGACTTTTTTCGATTATTTTCGAAAAGGCGATTTTTCCATGATTCACAAGTTTTTAACGTTAAAAATGAACAAAAAATTTTACCGATATAAATATTTTCAAAAATTTCTAACTGCAATAAAAATCAAAAGGAAAATATAATTAGAAACTTTATATTCTACTTTTTTTGTTACGTGAGGCAAAATTGTTGTAATAAAAATTTAATTTGAAGAAGAAATAAATAATATTCATTCATTTGAACGTTCAAAAATTTAGAGAAATTTTTTCGAACTTATTTAAAAAAATAAACAATTTTTTTGGTATAAAATGCAACTTATTTCAATTTTTCTAGTGTAAAAAATATAACTTGTCAAAACTTACAAAAATTATTTTTGAGTAATTTTTTTTAAATATTTGAATTTTTGAAATATATAATTGAAAAGTTATTAAATAATAGAAATTTTGTAAAATTTGATTGAAAATATAATATTTTCTTTTCAATTTCATTAAATTTTTTTTTAAAATCAAACATTGAGGAAATTTGATTGTAAATTTTGAAAATAATAATTGTAGGGGAGACTGGGGCGAAAAGTTAAATTTTGCATAAATGATTTTTTTTTGGCAATATAATCCGCTTAGATGCAAATATTTGTATATCAATATTGTAGGGCAACTTGTCCCCTACAACTTTCAATAAAAAAGTTCCTGATATTTTCGCAAAAAATACATGTTTTGTCCTTTTTTGAAAATTTTGTTTTTTTAACTTTTCGCCCCACCCTGGGGCGAAAAGTTAAATTCTATTTTTAGCCTACTAAAACTATTTTCTGATAGGTGATAAGTAGTAGATAAGTTAAAGTATACGTAAACAAGTAATTTAGTAAATAAAAGATCTTTGTTTATTTGACAAAAGCTTTAGAATAGTTGTAAAGTTAAAAAATTGAAATTTCAAAAAAAAAAAATTTTTTTTAGTTTATTTCATGTGAACGGTCTTGTTTTTTGACAGAGTACTTGCCCAATGTTAAATAAATAATTTTTAAACAAATAAACCCAAAAAAACGAAAAATAAAAAAAAATTTTTTAATAACATGTAAAAATACATTTAACTTTTCGCCCCAGGGTGCGTTTTTGGCTTTAAAAACAAATATAAAAAATCTGACTAAAGATATTTAGCAAATACCTTTAGGTATCTCTTCAGGGGACCTAAATAATGAAGTAAAAAAATCGCGGTGAGGATAAATGCAAAAAATATACTTAAAAGTTGATATTTTCTTTTTCGAAAAAATTTTCAAAAGTAGGTTGAAAAAAACATTCAATATAGACACCACAAAAATGAACAGAATTGCACACAACTCCGGACATTTATTTAGGGTGATAACACCCTTCTATAATTAAAATTGCAATGCTCTAACTATTCCCGTTCGAAAGATAATGAATTTTAACGGTTTTGTCAGTTTAACTTTTCGCCCCAGTCTCCCCTACTCTTGAAAAAATATTAAAGAAAAATCATCAAATAAAAATTTGAAAATGAAAATTAATGAAAATTACCTAGCTTCATAAAAGTTGTATTAAAAAGTTTTCTTAAAAAATGATTCCTAGAATACTTTTAATTATAATTTTTTAAAATTCAATTATTTTCGACAAATTGCATTACCTAAAATATTTTAAAAAGAAAATGAATGAAAATTAGCTTCAAAAATTCATAATATTGCTAAAATTCTTTTAAAATCAAATTTTTTAAATTATTAAGTATTAAAACTTGGGAAGAAATAATAATTTTCAAATTTTTTTAAAAAATTTGATTATTTATTAAAATTTTCAAATATTTTTAAATTAAAATTTTTTTTAATAAATTTTAAAATCTATTATTTTAAAAACTTTTTACAAAATTTCAATTATTTAGAAATTTTTCAATGATATATCTATAATTAAAAAATTACCCAATTTCCTTTCAAACATTTATTTTAAAATATTTTTTAAAAACTAATTTAAAAACTTTTTTATTCTGTTTTTTTAAAAACAATTTATTTTCAATATTTTTCGTTTATTTTTTTAATAATTCACCTTAATAAAGTATATTCTTTAAACTATGAAGAATTACCGTTAAAATTATTATAAAAATTTCAATTTTTTGTATTTAAATAATTGAATTTTTTAAGAACATTCGGAAATTTATAAAAATAATTAATTTGGAGAAGTTTATCAAAAAATTCTATAAAACAATTGAATTTGGAAGGCATTAGTTTTAATTTTTGGAAATACTTGAATTTTTTATTTAAATAATTGAATTTTCTAGGAAATTTCAGAAAATTATTAAAAAGTAATTGATTTAGAGATGAAGTTTATTTTAAAAATTTTAGAAAATAATGGAATTTTGAAAGAATTATAGTTGTAATTTCTAGAAATAATTAAATCTCAAAATATTTGCTATTAAAATTGAAATTAAAATTTTTTTATTCCTGCCCGTGTGGAAAAGTGGTGTTGGCCCACGCCGGGGGCCCGCATGGATCGCCCACATCCATGAGGGGCCCACGTGGGTGATCCAGGCGAGGCCCCTCATGGAAACGACATGCTGATCGATGAGGGCGCCCGCATGGGCGATCCACGCGGGCGCCCTCGTCGGCCCCCTGCGTGGCCCTCGCGTTTGCCCTCATCTTTGCCCTCGACTTACCCTCACCTTTATTTTTCAAAATTAAGTTAATAAATTAATTATTTATTAATAATAAACAAGCTCAACTATTAATAAATAACATAGTTATTTAACGATTTTTACTTTTTTTAATTAAATCGTGACCAAAAAAAAAAAATCTGACGCACTCAAGAATAAAACCTACGACCTACGGACTATCAGACAAACGCTTTACCACTGTGCTAAGGGACCTACTTGAAATTTATTTCTTTATAGTAGGCAACTAGCTGACTTGCTTTTGATGATTCAATAAAACATTGTTGACACTAATACACCATAACAAAAAACGTGTTTTTCATTGTTTAAAATCATTATAATCATTAATTTTTGTTGTGTAAAAAAATATTTTTTGTTTGGACTTAGAAATTTTTGCAAGTCAATGATGTGGGCGATCCATGCGGGCCCCTCGCGTGGGCCCTCAAGGATTTGCCCTCATGTGAGTTTTATATTTTTTAAAAAGTAACATTAAATATTTGTTAAAAACGTGTTTTTCATTGTTTAAAATCATTATAAACATTAATTTTTTGTTGTAAAAAAAATTTTTTTGTTTGGACTTAGAAATTTTTGCTGGTAAATGATGTGGGCGATGGCGATCCATGAGGGCCCTTCGCGTGGGCCCTCAAGGATTTGCCCCTATGTGAGTTCAATATTTTCAAAAAAAATGTAAATAATTTGATGTTAAATATGTGTTTTTCATTGTTTATAATCATTATAAACATTAATTTTTTGTTGTAAAAAAAATTGTTTTTTTGGACTTAGAAATTTTTGCAAGTCAATGATGTGGGCAATCCATGCGGGTCCCCTGTGTGGCCCTCATGGATTTCCCCACATGGATCAGCCCTCGTCGGCCCCCGCCGGGGGCCCTCACGTCGTGTGGCCTTTATGGGGGCTTTTTCCACACGGGTGTCGAAGAATTTTATTATTTAGGAAAATAACTGAATTTTCGCAAAGAATTTTATTAAAATTTTAAAAAATCCTAATTAAATTTTTTTGAAGAATTTCTTTGAATTTTTTTAAACTAATGGAGTTTCTTTAATAATTTTAATTAAAAATTTTGAAAGCAATTGAATTATTGGAAAGAATTTTTCTATTTAGGTATAAAAATAATTCAAATGTTTCGAAGAATTTATTAAAATTGTGAGATATAATTAAATTGGTATGAAGAATTTTATAGAAATAATTAAAAATAATGAAATTTTTTCGAGAAATTTAATTATAGTTATTTCGAAATTAATTGAATTTCTTTAACGAATTTTATTAAAATTAAATATATTCAAAATAATTGAATTCATCACAAGAATTTTATTATTTTTTGAAAATAATTGAATTCTTTCAATTTTTCTTGACGACTATATTTAAAAATTGCATTGAAAGTAATTTAATTTATATATAGAATTTTTTAAAAATATTTTAAGAATAATTTAATTATATTTAGAGAATTTTAAATTCTTGTTGAAATTTAATTTTATGGAAATTTTTGAAAATAATTAAATTCTTTCGTGTAATTTTATTTAAATTAAATTAAAATTTATTTAATTCCTGCAAAGAATTTTAGTATTTATAAAATTAGTTGAATTGTTTGAAAGAATTTATTAAAATTTTAGGAAATAATTGAAATTTATTGAAATATTTAAAAATATTTGAATTCATCCGAGGAATTCAATTATTAAAATTGTTTTGAAAATAATTGAATTCCTGCAAAGAATTTTACTATAATTATTTTATAAAATTAATTGAATTCTTGCGAAGAATTTTACTATTTTTTAAAAAATTATTGAATTTTTCCGAAGGATTTATTAATATTTTAGAAAAACAATTGAATTTTTCGAAATATATATTAAAATTTTTTTTAAAAATTGAATTCTTCCGAGGAATTTAATTAAAACTGTTTTGAAAATAATTGAATTTTTGTAAAGAAAAGATTAAAATCTTTTAAAAACTGTTTAAAAAAATAATAGAATTTTAGAAGGATTTATTAAAATTTTAGAAAATCATTGAATTCTTTCGTGAAATTTTATTAAAATCTTTGAAAACATGATCAGTAATAATTAATTTTGTACTTAATAAGTGAATTTTTAAATTTTTGATTATGAAATTATTCAAAAAATTTATATTTGAAAATAAAAAATGTTGTAATTTGCATAACAATAATAAATCGAATATCTCGTTCCGCGCGCGTAACATTTGCTAGTGGTTAATAATTTGCAAAAGAAATAACAGAAATGAAGTTCACAACGTTTATGATCAACGTTTAGAAAGAAAATATATTTTTTACTTAAAAAATCCAAAAATTAAATTTTGGAAGAATTTTAATTGAAATTAAATTTTGGAAGTATTACAATTTAATTTTTCAGAAATAATTGAATTTCAAAAGATTTTAATTTGAATTTTTTGAAAATTTGAATTCACGTTGAAAAATAATGATGATTAAATATTATTACAAAGAAAATTTTTCAATTATTAAAAACAATTCAATTATGAAAATAATTGAATTGTATTCACAAATAAATCTGGGAAAACAAAATTAAATTTTTGTTGCAAATCAGCTGATTAATATTTTTAAAAAAATTCTTAAACAAATATTTGAACAAAAACACATTTTTTTCCAAATATTGTCGATTATAAACGTTATGGAATTTTTTTTAATCTAAGAAATAAATTTAAATCAGTTTTACTTGCATCGTGATAAATTACAATAAACTAGAAACTAAAAATATTTGTACATTTAAAATAATAATAAAATTTTTATATCTTAATTTGATGTCGTAGATTAAAAAAATTGAAATTTTCACAATTTTTTTTTATTAACACCAATGTTTTGAACACTATACAAAATTATATATATATATTTATAAGAATGAAACGGACAAACGTGGATAACAAAACGAGAATGTCAATAATAAAAAAACGAACATTTTTTTCTGTCCATCCGATTCTTCCTTAAATCTACTCACATAATAATTGTATTTATATTATTTTTATTTTTTTTTACACATTACCTAAGGTTGAATGGAAGTTTGAAAAATTTTTTACAGTTTAGAATATCATTCTTCTAGATTTGATAATTAGAAATTAACATAAATAATTTTTAAGATAATAAATTATTTTTCTCGCCGCTGGTATTTAGTTTAAGGTTGATGATTAAATTTTCTTTTGAGACAATTGTCGTCGAGGCATTTGTGTCTGTTAAAATCACAGGTCTCTTTCGTTTGATGATCACTATTTTTTTCTTTCGTAGTTTATCGTCTGCTTTCTTAGTTTTTCCTTTTGCATCCGTTGGTTCTGGTTTGACTTTTTGGATTTGTTTTTTCACTTCTTTTAATTTTGGCTCCTTGTTTTTATTCTGTAGGACTTCTATTGATTTTTGTGATTCTTTTATATTTCTTCTTCTATCTTTCACGACACTTGAAATATTTGCTGGAGCAATTGCTTTTGGCTCCACTTCATTCATCTTTATGGAATTTGGCGGGAAGAAGGAGACCTTTTTCGCTTCTGTCGTACACGATTCTTCGGCTGGTTTTTGGACATTTTTCGGGTACGTGGTTTCAATTTCGGTAATTTTATTTTCGTTTGCAATTTTATTTTCTTTTGTAATTTTCTTTTCGTTTGTATTTTTATTTTCTTTAGTAATTTTATTTTCGTTTGTAATTTTATTTTCGTTTGTAATTTTATTCTCTTTTGTAATTTTGTCCTCTTTTGTAATTTTATCTTCTTTTGTAATGTTATTTTCCTCTTTTGAACTTGTATTCTCTTCGTTTGTAGTATTGCTCTCCTTTTCTCCAATTTTATTCTCTTCTGTAATTTTGCTTGGTTTTTCAGTAGTTTTAACTTCTTCTGTAATTTTATTTTCATTTTCTGCGACTATAGGTTCTTCTCTCGCGACTTTGTTTTCCTTTTCTGCAAATTTAATTTCTTCCTTTGAAACATTGTTCCCCTTTTCTGCAATTTTATTTTCTTCTTTTGTAATTTTGCTCTGTTTTTCTGTAATTTTAACTCCTTTTTCCTTCGCTGATTTTTTATCTTCCTTTATAACTTTATTTTCACTTCCTGCAACTTTAATTTCCTCGGTTGTTAATTTGTTTCCCTTTTCTACAATTTTTTTGTCTTCCTTTGTAATTTTAACTTCTTCTTTCGTTATTTTATCTTCTTTTTTAATTTTATTTCCTTTGACTGTAATTTTAACTTCTTCTTTTGTAATTTTATCTTTTGTAATTTTATTTTCTTTGTCTGTAATTTTAACTTCTTCTCCTTTCGCAATTTTTTTATCCTCTTTTGTAATTTTACATTCCTTGTTTGTAATTGTAACTTCTTCTCCTTTCACAATTTTTTTATCCTCTTTTGTAATTTTATTTTCCTTGTTTGTAATTTTAACTTCTTCTTTTGTTACTTTTTTATCTTCTTTCATGATTTTATTTCCATCTTCGTTTTCTTCTCTCGATATTTTATTTCCTTTCTCTGCACTTTTATTTTCTTCTTTTGTAAATTTGCTTCCCTTTCCTGATGTTTTAACTTCTTCGTCTTCTTCTGCTATTTTTTGATCTTCTTTTGTAATTTTACTTCCTTTTTCGGCAACATTATCATCTTTTGTAATTTTATTTCCCTTCTTCGTAATTTTATTTACTTTCTCCGTAATTTTCTCTTCTTTTGTAATTTTATTTCCCTTTTCCGCAACTTTATCATCTTTTGTAATTTTATTACCTTTTTCCATAATTTTGTCCTCTTTTGTAATTTTACTCCCTTTCTCCGCAATTTTATCCCCTTTTGTAATTTTATTTCCCTTTTCCACAATTTTACTTTTTTCTCCACTAATTTTACACTCCTTCGAAAATGATTTTGCATTTTCAGCCACTTTCAGTTGATTTTCCCCAATCGTCGAATTCTTTTTCCCCTGCTCGCTTTCTTCGAATTGTTGACAATTTTTTTCCTCTTTCGCCGCATTCGAAATTTTCATTTTGTCCTCCGATTTTTTTATTAAATCCGAATTCTTGACCTTTTTCTTCTTTTTCGTTGGACTTGACATTTTTTGTTTAGTCAATTCTTGAACATTTTGCGTATCGCCCTTGAATGTAAGTTTCATTTCTTCTATCGATTCGTTTTCAACTTCTTTCAATATTTCTTTTGCACTCTTGCCTTCTTTATTTTCCTCCAAAACTTTCTCTGCCGATTCAATAATGGAATTGAGATTTCCAAATCTTTCGAAAGTACTGTTTAAAATTTCGCCGATTATATCTTGGACCATTTTGGGATTTGAATTCGTAATTTCCTTGGAAGATTTATTCTTGTCGTTAATTGTTGGCATATCAGTAGATTTTATATCATTTTTGTCTTTAGGATTTGTTTCCGACTTGTTTTCGCTACGAATAGTGTGGGTGATTGTACTCTTCCCAATGTCGATAATTTTTTTGTCAATTGATAATTGTGTCTCTTTACTTCCACTAAATTCTGCCTTCTTTTTAGTTTTATTACTTTCGATTTTAGAGATTTCCTTTTCGATTTTATTCCCTTGGAAGTTGATTTTATTTTCCGCGGATAAATCATCTGTTTTAATAATTTTATTATTTGTAACTTCAGTTGCAATTTTCGGAGTAATTTTATCAACAAAATGTGTCTTTGCCGGAGATGAAATTTCGCCGTCCTCTAATTTCTCATGAATAATCGATTCTTCGGGAATTTTTTGGTTCTTCTTTCCTGAGTCGGTTGTCGGAATAATTGGGATATTTACATTTTTGCTAGAATTGATATTTTCCGTCTCCTTTTTGGAGGTCTCTTTGATTTTCTCCTCCTTATCGTGACTTTTTCTCTTCTCTTTTCTCTCTTCACTTCGTGAATCTTGATCTCTCCGGGCTCGGTAACTTTCCAATGTAATCTTTTTATTTGGATCGGTAATTTTCAATTCTCCACCTCTACTTCTACTTCTCTCGGAATAGTGTATTTCCATTTCTTTTCTCTCTCTACCACTGCCGCAACTTTTGCTCCTTAAGGAACAATTATTCCTACTGAATCTCCGCTCTCTTCTGTCGTTGAATTCCTGTGCAATTAATTTAGCATCCGAATCATTAGGACGATCGAGTTTATCCCGCCAATCTTCGATTCTATTCCCCCTTCGATTTCGTTGATCGAAGTTATCACTTTTTTGTTTAGGGTAACTTCTCTCTGGACTTGGACTTTCGGATCTTCTGGAACGATTGCTGTATTTATCGTGACGATCTCGTTCGTATCTTGTATCATCAAATCTTCCGTGTCGATTTGTGTCGTATCGCCTCTTTTCGAATTTATCGTGTCTGTGGTAATCTCTGTCGTACCTTTTGTGCTCGAGTCTTCCTCTGAGATCTCTGTCTCTTTCGTAATATCTTTCTGAATCGTATTTATTTCTAGATTTGTCATATTCGTGCCTTCCTCTCTCCCTGTCGTCTCTGTCCCTTTTTTCCACGTCTCTGCGTCTCTCTTGTAGAAATGTAGAGACTTCTGACATTGTCTGCAGTCGTGAGGCCAATGAACTATGACTAGAATCTTCCATTTTTTTACCTTTGTCATCATTAACTTTCGAAAAATTCGTATTTATATTACTATCATAATTAAAATTTTCAGACTTTTGATTTTGTTTCATTAGCGATTCTTTTTCATTCTCAGGACCCCAGTTTTCTCTCTCGTACTCGTAGATGGTTTCAGTTTTTGTACGTTTAACAGGAATAGTCTCATCCTTATCTTCAAGTGTTCTTTTCATTGTCAGTCTATTAAACAAAATTGATTTACTCTTCACGTCTTCGTTTGAAGAATTCGTTACATTTTGAGAAATTAAAGTTGTCGTTTGATTTTGCAACTGATTTGAAGAGGACACATTTTCCTTATTATCTACATTACAATTATTATCAGGCACTGGTGGTTTTACAATTTTTTCCGACTCTTCCAAAGTTGATTGTGTTGTTTCTTCGATTTTATTCTCCTTCTCAATTTCCTTGTCCTGCAGTTTCTTTTTATCTTCATCCAGCAATTTTTTCCTAAGTCTCTGAGAATATATGGTTTCGAAAATCTTGTGTGGCTCATATTTTTGCAAAACATCGTCCTCATCTTCTTCGTCAATGTACGGTTCGGAATTACAAACGTATTCGGTCACGTCGGCAAGTTCTGTTTTCGGAGCAGTATTTTTTACAGTTTCACTCTCGTCCGGTGGAGGTTTCGGAATATTTGATTCTGATTCACTGATATTTCTCTGCCTAGAAACAGGTGCATCTTGCTTGTATCTTCCTCGTCGAAATACTCTATCGTTCAATCTATAAATTAAAAAAATGTCTTAATTAATTAAATTTAAAAATTAAGAATTGTTTCAAATTGTAGTTTCATGTTTTTCAATTTTTCAAAAAAATCCAATCAAAATCTCTTGAAATCTTCTTTTTCTATATTAATAATTGTTATATTCATTGTTAGTTGTTGTTTACTCTTTTGTTTTCTAACTTATTTAATAATTTTTATTTTTAAATATTTTCAATTTAAAAATTAATGTATTGAGAATTATTGAATTCTTGCAAAGAATTTTATCAAAAAATTTGAGAATTAAATTAAATTCTTTTAAAGAATTTCTTTAATTTATTGAATATAATCGATTTTGTTAATAATTCTATAATTAATAGATAATTTTACTATTTAAATTTTTTAAAAATTATTGATATAAAATTAAACTCTTTTAAACATTTTTATTATAGAGTTTTTATAAATAATTAAATTCTTTTGAAAAATTTCTTTAAGTTTTTTTGAAAATAATGTAGTTTTTTTTAATAATTTTAATTGGAAATTTAGAAAATAATTTAATTAAACAAAAATTTTTTTAACTTTTTAAAATAATCGAGTCTTATTAAAAATAATTGAATTTTTACAAAGAATTTTACTAATAATAAATTTATATCATTGTATACTCTAATAAAGAGTCTATACAAATTCCATAACAAAACTTTTTTGCTTAATAGCAACATGAACATCACAAAGTAAAAACTAAAACTTATTTACACAACTTATTTAATTAACATCCGCTCTTTAATCTATTTTCGTCTTTTTTAATAAACATACATAACTCTTCTAAAATTTGTCCCCTCAGAACATCTACCAATTTTTCTACATAGAATTTTACTGTTCATAAAAATATATGAATTGTTTCGAAGGATTTATTAAAAATGTAAAAAATAATTGAGTTCTTTCGTGAAATTTTATTGAAAATAATTGAGTTTTGGCAAAGATTTTACTATTTAAAAAATAATTTAATTGTTTCGAAGGATTTATTAAAATTTTATAAAATAATTGAATTCTTCCTAAAAATGTTGTTTATGAAAATAATTGAATTCTTGCGAAGAATTATATTAAAATTTTTGAAAAAATAAATAATAATAGGTAATAATTAATTATGTACTTAGTAAGTGAATTTTATAAATTTTTGATTATGAAATTATTCAAAAATTTATATTTTGAAAATAAAAAAATTTGTAATTTGTAGCGTAATTGTAAAAATAAATATCAAAATTTCTGGAACACTTTTGAAATTTCTTGTATGTAAATAAATAATAGAATAATTTGAAAATATAAAATTTAGAAAGAATTTCAATTATAAACATAACCTTTAACTGTCAAAGTTTCAAGAAACAGTGAAAGGTATTTCATTTGTTATAATAAATTCATCCTTTGGATTTTTGTAGACATTGTTTAAATTAGAGAAAGAAATATCTTAAATAAAAAAAGCAATTTTAATATACTTACTGTCGTCGAAGATCGTCTATCATTCGTTCCTTTCTAGCTACTTCGCCCTTAGCTGTCAACAACAGAGACGAGTAATTGTCCTCCAATATTTTATTGCATTTCTCAACGTCCTTTAATTGATTCCTCAAATCATTCAATTCGTTCTCAAATATCACGCATTGTTTACACTATAATTTTTAAAGAAAAATTATTAATTTTCAAAAATAACAACATAACCTCAAAAGTATGTTTTTTTTATTCTGTGAACTTACTTTTTCCAAATCCTTTTCATTACATGTTACATCTGTAAACGCGTAGATATCAATTTCTTCTTCCATAGCACAAAATTATTTAATTATTGCACACAATTTCACATTATTAATAATAATAGTTTATGCAATTTGCACAGCTGACACCTTGTATGTGTGTAAAGTTATGAACATTATGAACGCTCCTGTGTGCTGTGCACGCCTGCGCATTTATTTCCAGGAAGGAAAAAATTAACTTTACCTTTTATTTACTCAAATTCGCGACAGAGAAAAAGGGAAAAACAATAATTGAATAATTTGTTATTAAAGTTCATTGAATAATATTTTTTTAAAAAACTTTAAAGACAAATTAATTTAATCAATTTTTAAAAATTCCCGCTCAAAAGTAGATGATTTTACCGACGCGTGTCGGTAAGGTAAATTCGTCTGAATCTACTTTATCTACAGGTCAAGAACGCATGCGCACAAGTAAATCATGTCAGTAGTTCTCAATTCTAACCGTAATTAACCGGTGGCAAATTATTTTTACTCTAAAAAGGGGAATTTTCACCTAATCTAAGAACAATAGACTGTAAATTCGATTGTTGTGTCTTCCCGATAGTTGATTAGAAGGAATTTGTTATGTCTGTTGTTGTTATCAGTGACGAGTGAAATGTTTAATAGAAGAGAAACACTGAGGTCTGGCCTCCGGATAAACGCCATACGCCAGTCAGTTCTCAGTGGTGACGCGCGCTGTTGACTTGTTAAGTCTTATGTATATGTTCTTTATTCAAAACTATCGTACAAAAATTCCGTCCAAACTTTTGTACCTGCTTCCATTGTTTTATAAGTTAAATACGCTATCGTGATATAACGCAAAAAGTGTTGTATTTGATAAGTGTTTCAATGAGGATAATGTGCATCGTATAGTGTATAGTGTTTGAACTTGGGGAAAAAAAGAGTACAGGACAGCCGGTAGCAGCGGATGGCGCTTTAAACTATGGAGTAGTAATTTTTCAAGGAGAAATCTCTGGAGCCTCTTACTTGAAAAGCAAGGTAAAGAATTCACTCCACTCACTTTAGATTCTTGAAAATTGTTAACACTGTTTCCGACTTGAATCTCGTTCTATTATTTAAACCGTCGGACCTGTTGATGCAGCGTTTACGTTACCAGGGTTACTTCGTACGTCGAACTCCATGTGAATATTTTTGTCGAAAACACTGAAATTCTAAAATTGACTAATACATACTTTTGTTCGATTATTTCCATTTAAATTATCTTTTTTTGTTTCGTACGGTTTTCAAAACGAGGTTATTTTCAATTCAAATATTTACAAATTGAATATTTAAACACGTTTAAATGTGAAATAAAGAAAGATTACTATCAAGTTTGAAAGTAATTGGTAAATATAGAAAATTAGATAAAACGATTTTGAGTTTGTTTTTAACATAACGGTGACTAATTGAATTGAAGAATAAACGGAGAATTCCTTGATAATTCCTCGATAAACTTTAAGAATTTTGACAAATCGACAAGTTTAAATTTTTAACAAAGGAGTCGCGTCCAGTTACCTACATTTACAAACAGTCATTATCGTAATCAGCAACTTGACTCATAACTAAGTTATTGCAAATGATTCTGGAATGCTATTGTAATTAAATAAGAACTAATTTACTGTGTTTTACTTTCAGAAATCTAAATTTTTTTCCACTTGTTTTTTCTACGCCTTCGCTTTATATAAACGTGACAAATCAACTTTGCAATTACGACGTTCATATAGAGTAATTCATAATAAGTAGTTAATAGAATTAATTGGACAGTTTTAGGTACTTGTAAGTGACCTAGATTATCGAGACCCGAATATATTATCTTAAGGTTTCTTCTAAAATAAACATTAAATAGTAAATAGTCCATTGAAAGTGATTCATAATTTTTTTTCTTAAGTACATAAATACTGAAAAATATTAATTAATAATAAAATAAATTAATTAAATGAATGGAATAATAATCAAATTAATTAAATAATAGTAAAATAAATTAAATAAAAATAGTAAAAATATTATAAAAATAAAAAAATAGATACAAAAATTGGAAAGAAAATACATTGTTTTAATTCTAGGAAACTAAAAACTTTCTCTCATACATATTTGAATATTATTTTCTAATATATTTTTCTAATAATTTGGTGAAATTCAAAACGTAAAATACAAAGTTGAATACAGTGGTTGTTTTTACGAGAAACAAAGTCGTAATATCCAAATTTTACGACTCGGGTTTAATTTGCAAATAGTAAAAACGTTTTAATTATACACAGATTACACACAAATATTTAACCTGGAAAAAATAATAGACATACCTGTAGAAAAAAGACAAGTGTTTGTTACGCTTTCTAATTATAAAGAATAATAATAATATATTTATTAATACTTTGAAATTTTTTTTCGAACAAAATGATGTGTCTTTATTTTGGAATTCTTTTTCTAAATATTTCGACAAGGAAAAAAAATTGAATTTTAAATAAAGTTGTCATTCTTTTGTACGCCACTCCTCGCTGTAAAATGTTTTATATAATGAAAGTAACGGATTATTTCTAGGTTTGCGTGATTGTTGGTCTATAGTTGGTATAATTTCTGGTTAAATCTTAAAGGCAGGAAAAGGAAAATTACTTTCTTTTTGTACATTTAAAGAGATGTTGCGTAAGATGGGAATGTCTGAGTTTCGCCGGTGAATTCTTTTTTTTTTTATTCATTTATGAATTATTCATAGAGAATATTTAATTGCATTTCTTCTCGTATGTGAAATAATTGATAACGACATTACTGGGTCAATATTTTCAATACGAGATATAGTTTTGACAAGAGATAAAAAAAAGTGGTTTAATTGTTTTCTGTGAGATAGTGCAATAATCGTAAGGATAAATGATTATCAGAGGGAGAGTAAAAATTTTTTGTTTATTTCTTCGTTTTATTTATTTGCTAATTTTTTTTTATTAATTGTTGTTAATTGTTGTTTTTGGTTAATTATGCTTTTGTTAATTGTTTTTTTTTGACAGAAAATGCAATAATCTTAATTTTAGGATAACATTTAGAAAAACATTATTTTTTTGCTTTATTATTTTTTTTCACTTATTTGTTTTATTTCATAAAATAAAATATTTCGAAAATTATTTTTAAGAATCTTATCGAGCGAAACGATTTTTAAGTAAAAATTTGCTTCTCTTTTACTTTTTGTGTTTTTGGATTAGTGTATTACAATCTATTTTCAAATTAATTTGAGAATGTTTGGAGTTGGTTTATTTTTGAAAAAATAATTTTATCACCATTTAAGAGAGAAGTAATCCAATATAGAGAAATGATGGGTTTACCATTATATTGCTTTGCACTAGACAAATAACAAGCACGACTCGTCATGAACAAATAAACTGATAAGAGAACATGGAATTCAATCTTTCGTTAAATATTCGACCATTAAGTCTCGTCGCATTTAAAGATAAGATTAAACTTTTATTATTATTTATTTATTTTTATTTTTATTATTAATTTTTATCATTTATTGTCAATTTTTATTATTTATTATCAATTTTTGTTATATTTATTATTAATTTTTAAAATTTATTAGAATAAATTTTTATTATTTACTATTAATTCCTGAAGTGAAGATTATTTTTTGTAAAAGTATTCCTAAAATTTCGAACGTTCAACTGAAGGTTCCTGTCGATTGCCTTAAAATATTAGTGTCGACGCTCAGCGTCAAAAAATATTTTTTTAAACTTTTAGGGGCGAGAATGTTGCTATAAGTTCACTCCAAAGTTATGTGGGGATGGTATAATAAAATAAAATAAAATAAAATAAAATGGTAAATTTAAATGCATTTTAGAAACCCAAAAATGTTGTGAAACTGAAGTTATACCAACTTTTATTCAATGAAAGTTTTTTCCTTTGCTGATTGTTTTTTAATGTAAGAAGCCCTTTAAAAAAATTGCAAGAGTATCCATGTTGGGGTATTAAGAAATAAACAATTATCAAAAGATAAAAAATTGCTTCTGAAGCGAAGAAATAATAATTTAGTTGAAATTTCGAGATATTAGGAGGTTAAAGTTTTGAACGTTCAAATGAACGAAATTTATTTATTTCTTCTTCAAATTAAATTTTTATTACTATAATTTTGCGTCACTATTAAGCAAATTAATTATAATGTTTCTAAATGTAAAATTTGAGTTTTTAATTTGAATTGTAATCAATAATCTATGAAAATATTTTTAACAAAAAATATTTCGTTCATTTGAACGTTCAAAACTTTTTGTTCATGAGATATTTGGAAAATCCACGATAAAAAAATTAAAAATCATTGATTTCTTTGGCTTAGATCCTCTTACAATTTTTTTTTAAATGACTTCTCAAATTAATAATAAATAAATAGTAAAAGAAAAAAAATTGTTTATGAGGTGAGGAAATAATAATTTTGTTAAAATGGATTTTTGGAAAATCCGAGTAAGAAATCAAAATTACTGATTTGAGATTTCCCCGACTTGGATCTTTTGAAATTTTTTAAAGGGCTTCCAACATTAAAATAAATAATTGGCAAAAGAAAAAATTGTCATTGAATAAACGTAGGTAACTTCAGTTTCATAAAATGTTATTAAAATACCTTTCTTCGGAGCGCATCACAAATAATCTCGCAAATTTTAACTTAAATTTTTGTTATTAATAAAATTAAAAATTAATATAACTTATTTTTTTAATAATTTACTTGATGGATTTTATATTTTTTGTCTAATAACATACCAAAACAATTTTATTTTTGAGTCTGGAATTTTTTAAAAAATGATCTGGAAAACCTGGAAAAGTCATGGAATTTAAAATCGATGTTTTGTGGTAATCCTGCACAAATTTCACCTATTTTATAAATTCTTCGCATATTTTTTAATCAAAAGCTTATAGTTTCTGAACATTTTTAAGTTAATTTATATTCTAATATATCTTAATTTTAATTTGTTAAAAATTTCATCGAATAAAATCTTATAATTGACTCTGAATTTAATTAGTCAAAATTGTTAAACTTCAGAATTTCAATTCATCATATTTTTAATTGGGCATAAATTCAGTTGATCTAAATTTCAATTTATCCAAATTTCAATATTCCAATTATATAAAGAGAAATATATATACTCTCTAAATTTGAATTTGTAAAAATATTTACTAATT